CTCAAAATGCACAAAAACTGCATCCAAAAATCAAATTGCCTAGTTTCTCATGATAATTTTGGTGTTCAGACATTCTAGAATGACTCATATGTCCCATGCACTTTTTGCAGTACACATAACTTTCGGATGAAATCCGAAGTTTCTACATTTTTCTTACTATAGATTGAAGCTTTTTCTCAAAATCAATGAACGATAATATTTCAACTTTACGATCATTTCAAATATGGTAAACAGTAAACATATGATTGACCTTCTATGATTTTTTTCAAGTGTTTACTATATTCGATATGCATCAGTATTAAATATGTTATCGCTTATTTTCATTGATTTACAAATATCAATTAACGAAGACTATTTTGAGAATCAAAAAACAAAATACCTTATATTTTTCAAACTTTTTATTGCATTTATCCAAAATTGCTCTGTTATTTTTGGATTACCAGCAAATGATAAACCACGTAATTGTCGACCATGACGTTTAAGAAAAATGAACACCGTTTCAAAAGTCAAATTAACGGTATTACTTAAATCAATAGCACGCATATTCGATAGTTTACCTTGATCGATTAATTGGTTAAGAACCTTGAATAATCAAATGAAAAAAGAATGTAGTAACAAAAAACAAAGTAGAATACTATGTATCTACGTGATCAGTAAAACCGTCACAATTCGGTACCGCTAAATAAGTTAATTTTGGCATGCGTGCAAATATATTTAAAAAACTATCTTCAGTTAGTTCCGTCGATGATATATCAAGTTCATTAATAGAAGACGACTCCCAGCCAGCTGTTAACATTGCATTATCTTCGATACCTGTTTATTTAGAATAAAAAATAATAATATAATAAAATATTTCGAATGCTATTCATTTCTATATTCATACCAGTATTTTGAAGAAGAAGAGTTTGTAACTTTTTACAACGTTGCAATAAAATTTTGAAACTCATACCTTTGACACGTGTACAAAAATTCAATGCAAGACACTCAAGATGAATACAACCCGATGCTAATATTTCTATATGATTATCATCAACAAAAAATATACCATATAAATTGATAACCTATAAATCAAAATTAGAAATTAGAAATTAGAAATTAGAAATTAAAAGCGTCTCACTCGAAGATTAGGTGTTTGTGCTTTAATTTTACTAATATTAATTGTTTCATAGACTTCTTCTTCAGCTTCACTTGATTTTTCAATTGTACCTTAAGAAGAAGAAGAAAAAATCAAATTCTACCGTTAAAAATAATCTTCTTGACATCATTTATGTAACATACCAATGATTTGTAAAGTTTCTAATGATGATAGATATGCATAAATACGTCTCATAAATCCTTCCAGAAATATAACTTCAGACAAACAAATACAGAGCATTTTAAGATTGCATGGAAATGCATTTAAATCATTGAAATCATGTAACTGCATAGCTGTTGAAAAGTCTAGTGTTAAATATTTTAAATTCGGACATTTATTAGCTAATTCATGTAAAACATCAGCTGTTATTAATTCCATAGGTAATTCAATATATTGTAATGATAATGAAAAACGATGACCAATTAAACTAAGAAATTGATCGAGATTTTTAATATGTAAACCATGATGATCTGGCCGAAGAAAAACAGTTTTCCATAATTTTGAATTTTGACTTAAGGCACGCCATAAACGACAAACGCGTGCACAACGCAATAATTCAGCGTGCGGTAAATAGGAAAACACAGCAAGTAAAACCTTTTCTGGTAATGCATTGAAGTCTCGCTAGAATATAATAGAAAAAAAAATACAAACATTTAAAAACTAAACATGTTCTTGCTAATTATTTTATTTCTATCACTTTTGTTGGTCGTTTTAGCGTTGATGATTGATTTTCCATCATTGAAAAGTTCGTCACTCAATTTTTTTCTCAACTGTGTACAAATGTATATATGATAAAGACACAGGCAAACTGACAAAAAAACAAAAGTGCTAATGGCGTTTACTAGTGCGCATAACACATATGATGACTGTCGGTAGTTGTGTTTGTTTTTGGCGTCTATATTCTTTTTTGGATAATTATCGCGTACAGAAACATGGCACAGAATGAGATTGGTATGAGTACATAAATAAGAATGAAAGAATTCCAGAAGAATAAATTACCTGCGTGTCGCGCATTGGCACGCAGCTGGTTTGCTTTTTAGCAAGCTGAATCGTGCTGATATTCATTTCACAGTCAAACGCGTCTACTAATGATGATATCATACGCTCTTCGAGATTTGCTTTAGCTGTTCTATTTTCCTTCAACCAGATCCAGATGGCATTTCTAATGCTTTTTTGCGTCTATTTATTCTTTACATCGTTCGATTTCTTTTGTTTTACATAAGTATTTTGTCTCAGCACATAAAACCCATTAGGGCTGTGCATAGACAATACTATTGTACTATACTCATACAGTTGCAATTTTGGAATAAGAAGGTCTTCTTTTTTCTGGCCTGCTAATGTAAGCTGCCTGATTGTTCTATGACGCAGGCAATCTTTTCCTACAATAAGTCGCGTACTGGTAGATACGCAACCATTTATTGCCATGTCCTTGACTTTATTACTCTGGAACAGACAGTACACATCCATAATAATGGAAAAGAAATGTGCGCATATTACAACAAGATATTCGCTCTCATTTTCTATTTTAGCAAAAAAAAGAAATGTCTATCATTAATAACTAATTGTTATCAAGAACATCTCATAATATCTTCTTGCTAGTGAAAGAATCAATGTACTTTCAATATTATACTTTCTCTTTAAAAGTTCAATCAAATAAATTCACTTTTTCTTTTCTTTTCTTTTCTTTTCTTTTTTATAATAAATCAGATCAATCAACATGATGAAATCAAATATGATACCTATGTTTTTTCCGATAACAATCAATTGAATGATACTAACATGTCACGAACTGTTAAATATATACGTATCATTACAATAGTAATATCTCTAAACATAAACAAAAACTCACTCTTAATCGACGTCGAGAGCGTTGATGTGAAACATATCCATGTTCTTGACTGATACAATCATCGTTTTCGCCATCAGCAACAATATGATCTAATGCTTCGTGGGCAACGATAGAGAAGGAAGCTCCCGGATTTGCTGCAATAAGATGTCGTAGATTCATCGTCAATTTATTTTCTCTTTTTACACTAAATCAATACTAATCCATCATTTGTTTATTTCGCTACAACACTGATTGATGGTTTATATAGTGAAAGACGATTAAGGCAGTGTAAGAAAAAAAATGATAGAATAGAAAAGAAAAGAAAGAAAAGTCAATAAATGAGATTCTTCTCTAGTTTCATCCGACTTTTTTCTTGTTCACGATAAGATCACAGACAATGTTATATACTATCACAGAAGAACATAATGTCTCACAAACAAGAATTCTCTAATAGACATACCAAGTGTAGAGTATATCAATATGCATGTTGACAGAAATTTCAGACACCTCATCAACATATGTTATACTGATAAATATGGACACTATCATAAATGTTGTAAAGTAAAACATAAATTATCAATATTTAAAAAGAAACGATAATTCAACATCAATATTTTAGATTTTATTAGTATTCTCTAGCAAAAAATATAGATCTTTTCCAAATATACTAAAACAGCAGAAAAAGTTTAAAAAAGAACAAAATTCATACTTAATTGATATTGATGGACAAGATTTATTCCACGTGAATATACGGGTATATCGTGATGTTGGCAAAATATACGAAAGAAAATCGAGTTGTTACGTTTTCTTTGGAAACAAAAATGGAAACAATAAATCATTTTTGACAGCTAGTTGATTAACCCGTTTCTATATTCTTCATAGCTCAACTCGTGCGGAAAGATAGCTGTATACTTCATCTCTTGGCATTTACACTATTAAAATTACCACGGAAAACTATTTATCGATGAGACAAACATCAATTTGAACTAATTGGTTGAGAAGAAGAAAATAATATTTCAACGCTCATAATTAATTCATTAAACATTTTCAGTCAAATAATATCCATTGGATGATTAGCACGAGTATTTTAAGCTATTCATTGAATAATCTATTTATTAAAGACAGCTAATCTGTTAGTTTAATGTTAATCGAAATTTTTCACATGAGCAAAATTACATACATTCATCTAGTGAATTCTTCTTGAAAAATATTTCTAACTTAAAATAGATTCTAATTTCAATCGAATGTTGGTATAAGTATAACGATAATGATTAGCACCGAAAAACAAAATACAATTCCCACGAGAATTGTTGATTTACGCCTACAATCAAATCAAAATCTATTAGTTCCTTAAATAGCATGCTACGTAAACTTTCATCTATAATTCAAAGAGGTTTTTGATTAATTCATTAAGAAAAAAACTCTGCTTTATAATGAAAAGTTCGTTAAGTAACTTGATTCTCTAAGTATAATTAATCAATATCGCTCATAATATGAATATTCAACGAAACGACATTATTAGTAAAAAACTTTTTCATCAAATTTTACCGTAAAAATCTTTGAATCGAATTTCATATAAATTTTCGTGTGATTCTTAAAAAGGTGATTTTGAGAAATTTCATATCTTGATAAATTCATTCAGGTGGAATTGTAGTCAATAACGAACACGTCGATCTAATTTGACAAACAATATCTGATTGCATAAGGGCAATTTTTTCTCTGTATCAATCAATCAAGAATTTTAATGCTTTATATTTCTGCAATTATCTTTTCAAAAATTATATTGTAGAAGTCATTTTTTTCCGTAAATGAAACACATTTCAACAATAAATGAGTATTTGACTCTTCGATTGAATCGTATTATCATAGTAAACTTACTATGTAATACAAAACAAAGTTGTCATGAATTTATGAAAGAATTTGTTATCATAATAATATAATAACTGATTTCTCAGTATTTGTTACTATGTATAGTATCTTTAATGAATATACGTAGAATAGAATGAATATACTATGGCATATGTTTAGTGCATGAAGTGTACAATTTTACTGATGCACATTTCTGAGATAGGTTTCGTCGGCGCATAGAGATAGAATATAGTTTATATTTTAACGATATTTTCTATTCATTGGTAAGTAATATTAAACGATAGATAATCTATGAAAATCAGCATTGAAAAGTGTTTTACAATATGAATCGGATTCCGCTATGTGAGTAAATGTATTGACTTAGAGATACGTATGTCTAGAAGACTAAAAGTCATTTTTAACTCTTATTATATGATCGTGACATTTACTGATCTTGCAATCGATTCACTAGGGTTTAACAGTTTTATATTACTAGCTATCAATAAAGGAGACAAAAAAACTGACTGTAGCTCTGAATAATTTGAAAATACTATGACATGCTACTTGCGATTAGTCTCATTGTCTAGTGACATCTTCGTTGAATCGTTGACCTTTTCATTATTGAAAAATGTTTGACGAATCCGTTGATTCATTGCAACACGAGAGAGAGAGAGAGAGATATAAAATAGATAAAACTGAATGAATCTGTTTTGTACGAAAATTGATTTGAATTACTAGAATTAGTAGTACATATATTGCCGCTGCTCAGTTATAAGTATAGAATGGCACGTTGACTGATATTTGTTTTAGAAGAAAAATTTTACTTTTGCTCATTTCTTACACTAGATGAGATCAGATTTTAGAAGGACATTGATGAATAGTTAATAGTAGTGCCTTACATATTCCTTCAGGAAATATCACACTCTATGTCATTCTATATGCATGATTGATTACTTTTCGTATGAGTATTAATAAATTGACTGTAACTGTCGTTTCACTAGTTAATCGAAGAATACATTTTTTTCTTGATTATAAATAGCTAAAACAAGAGTAGAATCATTGATGTTTGATTAAATTTCTTGTTTTTCTTTCGAGCCCTAATGATTGACCCGTTTTCATCTCTTGTTTTGCGCGCGTAAGCTAGTTTGAACCTTATACTTCTAATACTCCAGCATTGGTATGTCGAAGACAGTAAAATACCAGTCATTATTCATAATTATGATGAAAATAGAATAGGTCTTCACAAACATCATTAATGAATTATTATTCTTGCAGATTTTTGCTTATGTTATATTATTTTCTTTCAATATCATTCAGAAATATAGAAAACTATGAGCATTGTTGACTGATAAGTATGGACGAAGACTGATACTTTCTTAAATAAGTGAATCTTGAGGGTTTTTTCAAATTTTCGACAAAGACGAATAGGATAATTAAACTTTGAATTTTTTTCACTTGTTGTGAATCAATGAGATCGATTTGAATTCTAAACTATAATGTTGATTCTTTTTCTTTTTATAACAATAGAGATTTTTGTTTCCGTTCAATTTATATAATATTTATTACTCCTTGAATAAAAGCATTTGTCTAATAATATCTAGTGAAATGTTTATTTGTAATGCATATCTCGTCGTCTAATACATGGGCATACTGATTGCATTAATGAAAATGATTAATATAGAAGAAATATAACGTCGGTGACGTTTGTTTCTTTGATTACTTCTAACAATTATATTCCAGGTAAGAAACGAACGATTTAGTTAATTTTTATAAATTCATTTTACTATTTTGTACTTGACTAGTATACCGGTTTTAAAGAATCATGTATCATTGTCTTCGTTACCGTTGTGCTGTTTCTCGTTCAATTATTTTTTGGATTATTATAATAACCATGTTTAAAATAGCATCGATATTTTACTATGATTTGCAACACAGGACTATTGATAGTAGTTCATCGTCTTTACTGTTTGATATCAAAGAAAAAACTAAAAAATTTTCGAATATCTCTTTATCGTCGGCAAAAAATGAAATCGAATCATTAAATTCGACAATAGCTAATAATCTTACAACGATCGAGTATTATCGAGAATATGTTAAAAGAAAAAATCATGAACAATTTATGTATAATAGTAATTTATTTTTATCGAAAACAACACGCTACATTCTACTTGTACAAGTACATACACGTGTTGTTTATTTTAAAAAATTCATTGAAATGTTACAAGTAGTTGAAACAATAAATGAATCTTTAGTTATATTTAGTCATGATTTTATCGATTCCAACATAAATTCACTTATCACAAGCATAACATTTGTTCCGGTAAAACAGTTTTTTTTTTCTTAAACATTTATCTCTGATACACCAATTTTCTTTTCTGTCATAATGCTTTAGCGACGTGAGAATTTATCATAAAATATTCTAAAAGAAAGTTCATTTAAACATGACCAAGTGCAAGCTTGCTCCCTATCTGACAGATAATAGTAAGATTGATACATTGAACTTCGTCTGTTGATTAACAAAAGCATGAATTAATTAAGCACTAGAGAAGATAATTTCTACTTGATTACATAGAATAGTTGCTAAATATATTTAGACACTACAGCTAACATCTTTTCTTTTAAATAGCCGTGGAACAACTGCACTGACTCTGAAATTAGCACGGTTCATGTTAATCTAAATGAATATAACTATTATGGCCAACGTTTCCAATAGATCCCTGATTCGTGATTACCTTCAGATATGTTATAGTAAAAAGAAATAATACATTTCTAATGTAATCAGATATGAATTTGTAAGATAATTGCATTTTACAAAGTTTAGAGACATTTTCAGGTCATTTTTTCCATCATAAGTGATTACTGAGATTTATTCAAAATATATTTTAATATTAAATCCCACATTATGACTAACTTGGAAAAATATTTATAGTTCCGAAAGATCAATCCTTATTGCCACTTTTCTTTTCTCTTTTTGGATATTTCAAGTTTTCAGCAGACTCCTTAAAATATTTTATTTTTAATATATATTTCTGTTGTTTAGGTGATTCAAATTTTTTATCCATTTTCACAACAACTTTATCCAAGTGAATTTCCAGGTCTTGATCCAAACGATTGTCCACGTGACATAGTCCGACATAAGTAAGTGAAATTCTAAGACTATTTTCTTTTTTTTTTATCTTATTGAAGAATTCTTACAGCACTTGATAACTATTGATCAAAAAGATGGGTAATAATTAATTTGAAAATTGAAATAAATATTTTTATTAGTAACATACAATTAACTTTTCGCAATTCGTCAATGTTTCTTTTTTTTCATATAATTAAAACAGCTTAGTACTTCTAATATATCGCACAGAACCATTGACTCTCCATCGAAATGATTCGATTTATTTTTTTTTTCGAAATTTTTCAGAGCATTGGCTAGTCGATGTAATAATGCACCGAATCCGGATAGATATGGACACTACAGAGAAGTATCGATTGTACAAATCAAGCATCACTGGTGGTGGAAAGTAAGTGAAACGTTGGTATTTGTTTTTTGAAAATATTGATTAGCAAAAAACAAACGTATATTTGATCTATGCAAATGTTCTCTTTGATTGTAGGATTGAATAAGATTTATACAAGTGAGTACATAATGTAGAGAATAAGTAATGATTGGAATGAATAGTTTATCATGCCAGATGAAATGTGCTTAGAAAAGCATGCTTTAGAAACATTTATTTTCTCTTATACCATTACATTTGGTTTTTCATAATGAATTAGAAATTCTGATCAATTATTATTGTATAATTATGAGTTAGATAGTTTGATGTATTTTGAAACATGATAAACATAAAATGTTCTAATGACATGTGTATCTCAATTGAATTTACTCATTGATGTTTTATTTATTTTAGCTGAATTTTGTTTTTAATTCAATTGAAATATTACAAAATCGTACAGATTATTTATTACTTCTACTTGAAGAAGATTTTTATTTATCACCTGATGCACTTGTCTTTCTGAAAAAAATGGAAACTACAAAAGAACTGTATGTTTCATAGAAATCTTTGAATTTTCATTGAGTTTAATTTTTTCTTTACTCTAGACTATGTCCCGAATGTTTATTTTATACACTAGGAAATCTTGAAAAAGCAGGCCGACAATTTGGAAAACTTAGTTCTAAGGTATGAATAAAACATATTATTTTCATGCAAGCCAAAACAAAAAGAAGATCCTCTTAGATATCAATTGCATATTGGCATGCAAGATACAATCTTGGTATGACAATATCTCATTCATTATGGACTTTACTTGTAAAATATGCTGAAGAATTCTGTACTATTGATGATTACAATTGGGATTGGTCACTTGTTTATTTAGCACAGCAACGCTTTCAATTTCCTCGAGTTATGTATTCGAGTGCAACAAGAGTTATACATCTTGGATCATGGTAAACAGAACAGTTGATCATATCAAGAACAAGACTGATGTAGATGATTTATTTGTTTCCTTTTAGTGGTACACATCATAAAAAATTTTGCTCCAGTGAATCTGACATTGCTCGGTGGACAGAGACAGATAAATTGTATCGAGATAATCGAAAATATTTATTTCCAGAAACATCCCTATCTGTACATCTTAAATATGAAGGTAAACGCATCTTCAAACAGCCAAATGGTGGATGGTCTGATATACGCGATAGACAATTATGTCTTTCGTTTGCATTCAAAGATTACAAAAATATCACTCCTATTGATGCAAAAATATAATTTTAATATTTTATTTTTGTGCAATATAACTTATCTCAGTGAAAAGCAAAATAAGCACAATACTTCTTTTTTTTGTGTTATTATCATAAAATTGTTATTGGTGTCTTCTTATTGTGTTTGTTTTATGTTTTTTTCAATTTCCACTTTCTTGGCATTTAAAAAAGTGACGACCTAAATATGCTTTAGATTAATTGGCATCGATATATGAATTAAAAATTTGTTTTCTTCATCGTTGTCAACAGCTCATCACCAATTTTTTGGATGATATTCAAGTATTTTATTTATCATAGTCAACAAACAATGAATAGGGTTTACATATGAAAAATTTAATATTATAGATTAATATTTTGTCAACTGGTACACATTGACGAACAATTCACATTAGAACATAAATGATAAAATAAAGTATTATCGTAATGAATTGAAGCAGAAAGAAAAATAATCTAGATACGAGAATCTAATTCAATGGCAATGTATGTAGTCGTATAAACTTGCGGAGCATATTATTTCATGTTCAAATTTATTATTTTCGGTTAATTTTCATAGAAAAATTCATAGCTATGTCACATCCGTATTAATCAAGAAAGATGTGTATTGAATGATTCTATTAGCTATGAAGTTTGATACATATTCTCTAACTTGTAAAGGATAGCAAATATCTAGCATAAATTCAATCCAGACAATGCAGTAGCTATTCAATTTTTTAGATTCGATATCTTCTCTAAAGCAGATAGTGGTCTATTTTTTTCTATCTGATTTTCTTTTGTAGCTATGATTTATCCAACATCAAAAACATATTATTTATTATATTCAAAACTATATAAATATGAATAAGTTATATTCAAGATGCTGTGGAACGCTACATACAGTACTATGTCAATCTATTTTATTATTATGTCTCCTAGAGTCCTTTAAAACAAGTAGCTGCGAAAGTATAAGTTGCTCTGATATTTGTTACCAGCATAGTAGACTCTTGAATAGACTGTAGTTTTACCATTCATCTAGCATTAATTGATCGCTTAAAATAGAATTTTCTTTTCATTAAGAAGTATTTTTTTTGCATGTGAACTATGAATAAAAGCTACAATCAATATCGTTTATAGAATGAAATCAGTAAGTTGCGTGATTCGTATCTTTTTGTTATGACTATCTTTTCCTTTGTAGCTCGACATTGTATCAACTGAAGCAATTTAATCTAAACTGAAAAATTCTTTTGATTTTGAAGAATTAAATAGAAAATCAATAATTTACGTTTGATGATAAGATTCTGAACAACGGGGAAACGGCAAATTATCGGGATTGCCAATCCATGAGCAATCCGGAAAAAATCCCAAATTTACCAGCAATCTCCTCTTGTAAATGAAGGAATTTCGAGCTGAAATTTTTATTGTATGTAGGTCTGGTGGTCCTTAGAATATCCTAAAAGTTTCAGCTCAAACGGATGTTTTCTTCTGAAGATAATGCGATTGCAAAAATACTCATATTTCCAAGGACGAAATGGCGGATTTTCCGGATCGCCAATCCATGAACAATCCGAAAAAAATCCAAAAATCCGAAAATCCACAATCCGCCGTTTCCCCCTTGATTCTGAACGATTTTTTGTACCACCGGATTATCATACTCATGTGAATTATGGCTGCCCATATTGATAGAAAGTGAAGTTCTAGTTCTTGCAGATCATTCTTTTAATAGCTAGTTATTTTTATTTCATGATAAGGTTTAGCTCTTTGGATCTTCTATTAATCAAATATGAAACTAATTGTTTCAACAACAGAACGCTCAATGAAATACATTTGCCACATTTTACTTCTACTGTTTATCAAGTCTACTGTCATCGTATAGTATACAAATAAGTACTTCGCCATAAAATAATCGATTTCCACCATCTGGTGTAATAGAAAATGGCGCGCGCATGATTTTTAACATCAATAGAAATATTTAAGCAAGTTTTGAGGAGATAGAACTAGATTTTTTGTCATTTTCCAACGCATTACATATTTGACGAAGGAAAATAGTGTTTAAATTGCTAGATGAGATTTTCCCGTTTGTTTCATGGAAGACTTCTGTAAACATAGTAAATGATCAAAAGTATATTATTCTTCAAAGATAAAAGACATTCAATTTCTTTGGTATAATCTTTTAATGGGAAAAAAATAAGAAGACTCAGAACCACTTGCAATAGTAATCAAGAGATTATTTCATAATTTTCTAGTCTTATTTGAAGTCTAAATGATTGAAGTTCATGTTTTGAATGTTCCAAAGAGTAGAAATATTGATTTTATTAGAGGTAGTCGATTATATTCAAAATATCAAAGAACATAACTATTGTTGTGTTGATTTTTAATGATCAAGATATAACGATCGCTAAAATTATGAACTGATATAGTTAAAACGGTTGAGACAAAGCAATATCAATTTTTCTGATTTTACTCAAATATACACTAAAAGATTAGATATTATGTATGTGATACTAGTATTTATATGGAAAAAAGATAATGCGTTTCGTTTCATTCGATAAGATTCATTCATTATTTACCTTTTTTAATTTAAATTTGTAGATTTTTAATAAATAAAAACCAACAAATCAACTCATCATCATGGTACGATTGATTTGTTTACTTACTATTGTTGTAAAAAAATGATCTTAGGTACGAAGTTGGTATATGGATGATCGAACAGAAGATCCACAGGAAGAACATTTATTAGATGAAATTGATACTACAACATTATGTGCTCGTACAGGTGTTGAAATATGGTATTTTCATCCGGATCAAATTCTTGTTAATAACGAAAATCCATCATTGATTAAATTAAAACATGATAGAGGGTAAAAAAAAGTAGAATAAAGAACATTCGTGTATCTCTCTTTCTCCCGTTATAGGTATACGTATGAAGATGAAATAAAAATTGAACCTGGTATGGAAAATTATGAAGAAAAATTAAAAATTTTCTTTGCGGAACATCTTCATTCTGATGAAGAAATTCGTCTTGTCCAAGAAGGTTCCGGTTTTTTTGATGTACGAGATCATAACGATAAATGGATTAGAATTCATGTGTTTCCAGGTGATTTAATTATTTTACCCACTGGTAACATAAGATAACTCTTTTTCTTATTTTTTTTACTTTTTTCTCGACGTGATTTTGTCATTTAGGAATTTATCATCGATTTATTCCTGACAAGCATAATTATATTCGAGCTAGACGTTTTTTTGTTGGTGAACCTGTTTGGACTCCAATCAATCGACCTGAAGGTGACCTACATCCTTCTCGTCAAATTTATGCTGAACATCTTTATCGTAATAGTACAATCGATACAAACAAGAATGTTACTGATGTGATCTCTTAAAGACAGAATATTCATATTTAGTATTGTTTGTTTTTTCTCGTTATGTCTACATACATTTAACATTTTCGTTCTACAAATAACAGTAACGATCTAAAGAAACCTAAAGTAACCAATAAAACTATGATATCTTTTTAATGTTAAATGAAATCTTTGCGAGAAACAAAAACAATCAATATTAACATTCTTTTTTTTTTTTTTTTGTTTAGTTTATACGAAAACACACTAAACAACCAGTATACGCGTTGAATGATTATGATTAAATTTAATCAATGTAATTGATCTTTTCCATTACAAAAAAAAAGATGACAACACAATTTTCAAACGATTGTCTGATTTTGATTACTGATCTTTAATCAAGAGCATCATTCGTAAAATAATAACTCATGCAATAAAGATTCATCATGTACAACTTGATTACCAATATTGTTTGAATACATTATTAATGCAATATTATCTGTACTCATAGATAAATCAAATATTGACCTGAACAGTGAACTTGGTTTTATGTAAAATATTAGTGCGATACTCATTGACATAGTAAGACATGAAACAAGCCAATACATCATCAATATATGATTGATCTATCTACTCGCTATTCGCTATTATTAATCTATTTTTTCAATTCAATCTTTCTAAAAATCCAATTCATACTATATAACTATATCGATAATTATTGTTATTATTTGAAAGTCAATGATACACATATAAATTAGTACATTCTTTATTGTTTAATTCAATTTGATATTGCTATAGACGAATCAAGACCGATCGAAATTCTTCACAGATAATTCAAAAATTACAAGAATTTGTTTATTTTTATTGAGCAAGTCAGTTCTTTTAATAATGAAAATATTTTCACTTTAAATAAGAGTAGATTAAAATATTTATTCTAACACAATAGTAAAACTTATGAAAATGACAGAAAAAAAGGGACTGTCCCTAATTCTATTTTAACTTTTTCCTTATTGGTATAAATTATTTGGAATGAACGAAAAATCGCATATTCAAGGTATCCAAAAAAAATGTGATATTTTATGGATCTACTAAACCGCATACCAAATTAGCTGGAAGAGCTTTGTCTAAAATAGAACAATTAATTACAATTAACATAATTCTCTATAATTATATTACCAATTTGCAATGGATAACTAAGTTTTAGTTCTTTCATAAATTTAACAAAGTCTTCTCTTGATTTCAATAAACGACTATTAAATTGTTTTTCTTCTGCAACTGTTGAACTCGTTTGACCTAATGAAGCAGAAAAGAAATTAATAGAGTTTTTAATCTAAATCAATTACCCGTATAATCGTGCCCAGGATAAACAATGAAATGATCCGGTAACGTATATATGTGTTCATAAATAGACGTATAGATTTTATCAGCACTTCCTTGTTGAAAATCTGTTCTTCCACAACCTCGTATTAAAAGACAATCACCAGTAAATACGCTTGCTCCTTTATGCCAAACAAATGTCATACAGCCTATACCGATACAATTATATTTTCATCATCGCATACATGAATTTAAACTTAGCCTACCATTTGTATGGCCTGGTGTTGATCGACATTCAAGTACTAAACGTTGATTTTTGTCATTCTTCTCACCAATTTCAATTTCATCTCCATGTTCAATATAAATATCTGCCTTTCCACCACTACATTTGCTTATCACACTTCGACATTCAGGTAATAATGTTTTAAGACGACCACTACCGGTAATATGATCAGCATGAACATGTGTGTTAACTGAGAAAGAAATTTAAAAAAAGGCAATCGAATAATATTCATGATTCATAAACGAACTTGCATATCGTAAAGTTAAACCGAGTTGTTTAATAAGTTGCATATCACGTGCAACTGTTGTAATAACTGGATCAATAATGAAAGCTTCTCGACTTTTCCCATCAGCTATTATATAAGTATAAGTTGATGTTGTTTGCTCAAATAACTGATAAAAACAAAAAGATAGGAATTTTATTTTAAATAGTCATTACAATAGACGATTTTCTGTACCTGTCGAACAAATGATCCGTTTGATAATGCTCGTCGACGTTGTGTTGAAAGACAGACATTACTAGTTTTTTTAAGAAATGGATGTAATGAACGTATGAACATCTGCAATGGTCCATGCATATATTTGTTTATTCATAAATAGCTAATGAACATTCAAAAGCATTATTTTATACAACCATATCTTTTCTACGGAGTTTCTTGTTCTTCCTTGTTATTCTTTTTTTTCTATCATATTATTATTGCGAATGCATTTATTGACCTCATACAGGCATGCGCTTGCCGCAACTCGATCAATATGCAAAAGAGACCAACTTTTACTACTATTCGTAGACGTACGCTCGCATACATCACGTAGACACACTCGTTTCTCGCCGGGTACGAGCAAAAGCGAGTAATAGGCAAAGAACAAACGAACATGATCGACTTGCACCAGTCACCGTCGCTAACGCTACCGAGTGATGAAGAAAAAAAGAGACAAACATACAAGCTCTCAGCACCAACCGACAACGAGCGAACGAGCCGTCGCTGCAGCGCCGACTCGTCGGTTGTCGTCGTCGTCGTCGTCGTCGTCGTCATCGTGTTTCATTCAGTCCGTCATCATTCATTTCTCTTCTTTCCCCTCTTCCACCGAGCGAGCACACACACGCACACACATACGGCGCTCGCACATCTATCGTCTGTCGTTCGTCATCAACTACACTGAATCGGACTTCTATTCGCGTAACACATATAGACAAACGCGTGAAGTCAGAATGGCCGCTTTAACAAATACTAATACATCTACTAAAGTCATACGCATTCAAGATGACGAAAAAGAATTATTATTTCGTTTACGAGAAATTTATGGTTAGTTAAATTATCTGTTTGAATATAACATCAGTAGAGAAAGAAAAGAATCGCGTAATTTAATGTGTTTTTTTCATTTCTTCAGGTAATGATTATAAAAAATATAGTGAATATATTAAACGAGAATCAAATGTACCATCAACAATAAAAAAAATTTATAAACTACTCGATGAACGCAAAGCTTATCGACGCATTTCGGATTATTTTCATCGAGAACGGTAAAGAATCAAATTTTTTATTTTTCATCTGCGAATAAACATAATTTATGAAGGAATGTTAGTCAAAAAGCACTCGACAGGATCTGTTTTCTTTTTTGAGAACTTCTATCATAACGGAAATGACATATGATCGAAAGGAAATTGTTGTTACTTGTACTTGAACATCGAAGGTGTAAAAAAACCTTTAAGTGTTCAACGCTGTCACTCATCTGAGTGGAATCATGCTTATTTAAGGTGCGCGTAATTCAAAATTTCCACAAGTTTTATTTTTCGTTTAAACACATATCGTTGGATTTGCCGTGTGATGCTGATCACGAATATGACCTTGCTTTTTTTTTTAAATTTTTTTCGTGAAGTAACCTACAAAATTCTGAGAAGACGTAAAAAATGTCAAAATTTTGCCTTTTTGAAATGCCGGAAAAGGAAATTTTTTCCTTTCTTTTCTTCTGATTTTTTAGGCCATAATCAGATTGTTAGTTAAAAACAGAGTATAAAAATATTAAATAATTAAGATTTTTATAATAAGTTTTTTAAGAACAANAATCCAACGATATGTGTTTAAACGAAAAATAAAACTTGTGGAAATTTTGAATTACGCGCACCTTATTTTGAAAGCAATCGAACATCTATACTGATTACACACCGTATTATTTTCAGATTTAAATTGAATAGACGCTGAAGTTAAGAATAGTGAAACAAACGTAGTTTTTCTCTTTGTTTCTATTAAAATTTTATTTAACATTTTCTTTTTGTCGAAGAATCTTGAGAAAAGAAGAAATACGATGACACATTGACAGTTTATTTCAATTAGAACGCATGATTGTAATGAAAGATAAAATCCTACATATTTCCGACCTACACTAGTACAGAGAAATTTCCTATTTTAATAAATGATACTTAACTTCTAGTGCGGCCAAAAAAGTTAAAGATTCTCATACGCATGGGATTCATGGATCATATACTCGGTCATCAACGCGTGGTATAACTCAAGTGCCTGAACGAATCTCTTCACTTCATGTAGAACATGATATGGATGATGAAGATGATTTAGATAATGACGATGACGAAAATCATACAGGTACAGATAATGATCAACAACAACCTTCAAGTCCAACGATAACAAATGGTAGTGACGAACACAGTGGAATTAATCACCTAATGAATAATGAGGATGAATTACCACAACAACAACAAAAGCGACCTTCACTTATAATTCCATTGACTCATCAGCGAAAACGAATGCTACCATTAACAAACCATAGACGTGTACCGCCACCGCCACTATCTTCATCATTCAGTTCATCTACAACAAACGGAAAATCTGATTTACTATCTGTACGTACGCATTTGGAAAAAGGTAAGTTAAGTCACGAATAAAAAGAAAATCTTGACTTCCATGCCATTTTCTTTATTAGCTTTAAATAAGCTCGATCGTGCTATCATATTCAAGGATGAGTATACTCATGATGAACAACACCGATCAATGGCACCAAGAAATCATCTTCTCATAAATGGTCATCGTCATTCAAAATTAGATGATATTGTCCGATCATTATCACATGTTGTAAATCAACAACAAGAAAATGCTCGATTAATTATTGACGAATCATCTATGTTATTAATTGATGATGAACAACAACAAAAAGATGATAGACAATCAGAAAGATTATTATCAACAACGCAAGAATCAATTATTACTGTTTTGGAACGCTTAAATGCTCTTGTCGATCGGGGTAATTCGATTTACGATCGAGTAGAAAGTATTTTATCGGAACTTTGACATACCTTAATTTTTTTTTCTTTCAAAATTTTTAAAAAATATGATCGTAAGAAAATTTGTATATAGTAATATTTGTTTCGTTTTTGGCATTGCTGTCGTTTAAAACAACATGATCAATGGAAGAGCAAAAAGAAAAGACATTAATCGGATTCGATTACGGTAAATGGCAGAAAAACATTTCTACGTTTAGTTGTTTTGTGTTACGTTTCAAACATAAATGAATTCATTAGTTCGAAACGTTGAACAATTAATAAATTGTTTAACGTTGAACTTCAGTTGTTTATTACAATAAAAAAATAGAACTGAAATCTCGTTTAAATGAGATAATTTTATGACTAACTTTACTTTCATTTCATTTCAATTAAATATAAAGTTTCATTAATTCATCACTAACAGCCGATGGTGTTAACAGGCCAATATCTGTGAACAGTAAAGTAATATAAACTGGTGGTGTGTAATCAACTAGTGGATGCTCATTTCCAAGATTTTCTTCGCCTAAACGTGCTATTGTTGATGATTTATATTTAAAATGATTCGGTAAATCACGATTATTCAATGGATAAATTCGAACGAACTTAAATGATTCAGCTGCGACATAAAATGGTTTATTCATTTCATGTGCAGCAAGAGCTAAATTGAATGTTCCAATTTTGTTAATAATTCCTCCGCTTTCAACAACAGCTTCAGCACCAATTAAAACAAATGTAACTTGTTCCATCATATATGCTACACTAGCATCTAATATACATATTGCTGGTATACCAATAGCTTCTAATTCGTCTCTCATTTTTAAACCACTCTTATCCGGCTCCGATTGTGTAACATAAACTTTAAATCGTGTAAATTCTGATGCATATTTAAGTAGAGCAAGAACTACACGTGAATATGAATGTGTTAAAATAACACTTCCATCAACAAGAAATTCTTTGCTTAATTCTGAAATACGCTGTCGTGATAATAATGCTCGATTTAAAAATACTTGACCTCGTTCGATTAATTTTTGACGACATTCATCAAATCTATATGCATCTAATTTTGCTAATGTTATAAAGCATAAAAATAGATCACAGCCCGATTTAACACTTGGCATTGACGAATCAATTTGTGTTGTTAATAGTTGTACAGCTGATTTAAGTTCGCTTGATAATCCACTTAATGTACCAGCTGATGAACGTTTGATAACATCAAGTAATGTACTTATAGCTATTATAGCTACTGATGTTCTGTACGTAATAGAAACAAAAGGCAAAATTCAATAAGCAGAATAGAAAAAATTAATTTGAAATTTTTATTAATACTCAGGTTCGTTTTGCCGAATCGAAGTAAAATATTGAAGTATTGCCTCATCGTCCATTGTTTTTTTGTTTTCAGTAACATGTGAAAGTATCGTTTCGTTTGTCATCTAAAATAGGCATTACTGAAATGATGCAATGAAAACGTAATATTATGAAATCTTTTTCAGCAGCAACTACACAAATATCTATATCTATATATATATATATATAGATATTGTAGAGAGATTATGATCTAAATAAACTTCTACAATACTATTGATAAAATATTAAATAAAAATCGATTGAATACTTTACAATTAATTCATATTCGAATCATATATAGTTTATATTCAAATACGTAATAACCAATTTACTGTTAGATCATAGAATTTATATAAAAAAAAAGAACGGTTTATTATTTATTCTATATCAAAACCGTCATTTGTACACTTGACGATTACAATATTTACGAACTATTAGACTGAAAGTCGGTAACGGTTTTTATCGACGTGATTGCTCTGTTGAATTTTTTTAGTCATTAAACTTTTTCTGTAAAAATTACGGCTTGTTCTTTTTTCGTCTTATTTTTAAATAGTTTTGACGACTTCATCAATTAAAAAAGTGGGTTACCGTGGTGCAAAGATAAATAAATATAAGTCTGTTTTCGGTTAATTTTTCTTTCCTTATCAAATGTTAAAGACAACATCTCTATAGTCACTGAAAAACATCTTTCTTTTAAGAAACAAAAAATCATCTACTGCAATAAGTAATACAAAACAACCTGTAATTGATCCAAAAAAAAACAAATACTTCATCACCATGAATTTTAAGTCTAATAGACTATCCAGTATAAATACGAACGATATTGTATTAGGTAATGGAATTTTGACTCAACAATTTAGTAGATCTACACCAAATTCACATGCGCGCACACAATTACCAAGAACTCCTTCCCATATACAAGTAAAAAAACTACCAGTTCCGCCGCGCCATGTATCAAGTAAATCAAACAATGATAGAACAAAATTACAAGAATTAACGAATAAGAAGAATTCTACTCGATCAAAAGCTCATAACACTAAAAGAAGAATTCTTCCTGATATCATTATTGTTACAACAGAAACTACGCTACAATCAGGCTTAGAAGAGTCAAATAATAAAAATCTACTGGATCGAAATTCAACTTTAAATGATAGTTCCACATCAGATTTGGAAACAAATGATAATATTATCACTCCTGATTTAATGAAAATTCCTGGTGAACGTTACAAAACGATCAATGTAGAAACTCTAGTAAATGAAAAAGATGAAAAACCAATCGAAAATCAAGAAACAGTTGATTTATTACATAAGATAAAAGATATCGCTAGTGCAGCACTTGTCGGACCAATGCCATTATCTTTACAAGTTTATTAATATTCTTATATTAAATTTAAAAGACTAATTTAAGAATTTCTGTTTTAGGCTTGCCGTTTTGAATTGCCATATGACTTAAAACTATTAGAAAACATGACACCACTTGATTATCTAAGTAAATATTGTCGTTTATCATCACGTCGACAACATCAATTCAAACATATATTTAATAGATTTCGTAATAGATATTATCTTTTTGAATCATCCTATTTATATTCATCAATAATAGTAGTGCATAAAGAAAATTTTACACGTTCACAATTTAATCAACTTTGCCAATTAATTGATTTAGGAAATCAAGAATGTGAATTAAAATTTGATACGTATGCTGGTATATTGGCATTATCCGAAAGAATCGCATATTATTCATCAAAATTACATGATGCTTATGGTGATTTACACACAGAAAAACATGCATTAGAAAAATGTGATTTCGATGGTTTAGATAGAAAACTTGACGGATTGAATATTAGTGATACTATGAAGCGATTGTTACATGTACTTTAAAAAAGGATTACAAAAATTCCAAATTCTAGAAAACAAAATTTTATCCATGGTATATATCAAAGAGAAAACTTTAACTCGAATCAAACTTTTGATTAGCACTTGAGTGGCAAAAAGAGAGGAAGAAAACCTGAGAAATGGGCATGTTGAGTGTAATTGCAGGTGATCGTCAAGAAATTGTTTAGCTATTTCAAGTCTAATATCAACATTTGCTAGGAAAATGTTAGTTCAAGTGCACTTTATATAAGTTTATTTGGCAATAAACTCCAAATACTTCATTGCATTTCAATATTTGAGTACTGCCGAAGTATTTCGATTTTATAACCATGCAAACTTTTATAGTAGGTTTGATATAGAAAATCAGTTCTAAACGATAACTCTGATGTATTCTTGTCTTATAATTTTGGTTTTGCCTTCTCCTCATCGGACACACCCCTTGTGATTCAGCGGAGTTATTTACATCGATGATTCTTTCTAAAAAAGAAACTTCTATCTCTTTTTTTTACGATAGTTAAACATGAATATTATTAATAAACACTTGAGTAAATACTTTGAACAAAAGAAGAAAAATCCCTGTATCATAGTTGTGACTAAGAGAAGCTATGTAACGATAAGCATACGCTCGATATTGAAAAGATTTCACGATTCATTATTCAAACGTAATCAAAACTATTATGCTGAAATTTTTTCTCATACCTTTGGATGTCATGCATGCTTTATTTAACGACGTCATAAAATTGCAATAATTGCTTTAGATGTCAATATAGGATTATAATTCATAGCGACCGAATGACTGTCTCTCATTTGTTTTCGATTAAAAGATGCCACTACATATTCAAGCTCGCAAAGTCATATCGAGAAATTGTTACAAATCATTAAAATCTTACGTATATTTTGAAAAATTTTCTATTACTTGATATAAATAGCTTATATTCTGTTCTACGAGGTACAGTAAAAAACAAATTTGAAATAATAATGTCAACATACTGTAATCAAAAGAGAAAACATGTTGAGAAATACTCGCTCCCTATGGTAAGAAAAAGGTTTGAATCTATGCATTCAACCGTACTGAATATATCTGCCTATGCGTTGACAGCACATTTGTCTCGCTTCAGCGATATTTTCAACCTATTTCGTCTCAGTTAAGACATCGAATTATAGATTGTTCGATATAATTATAAACGTAAACAAGATGATAGAAGTTTACTCTGATTTATTTTTTTCATTCACATGAAAACAAAGAAGATGACATTTTCGGGAACTTTGCATAATATAGTTAAAAAAATAAGTGATCAATTTTGTATGAAAATAAAAGAAGAATCACAATCAAGCATGAAAATATGTTTATACAAATACATTCATATAAGAGATTATCGTGAATACTAACCTATTATTGGCTAGCGTTTTCGTAATGAATCCACATCATAAAAAATGTCAAAGCAGATGGTTATAAATCTTATTTATATAATATAAAAATGACCAACATATAATTCTATACAGATAGGATTTAGACTAATCACCATTCGTCGTCATCATCTGAGCCGTTCGCGTCGTCATTTTCATCGTTGTTGTTATTATTATTATCACACCCCACTAGAAAGAAACAAAAATGTTTTACATATTTAAACGATAAAAAAAAGCCTTTACTAATCATCGCTCGTCGTTTACAAATCATATCGAATATATTCATTTCGAGAGTACGTTCTACTTCTATGGCTGATTTGTTCACAGGTAATGCTGTCAACACATCTGATCGTTGCTGAAATTTGGAAAAAAAGCAATCCCATTGTAATCGATAGATAGATAGATAGTAACAGTACATACGTTTAGTTTACGTTTATGACCATTTTCTTGTATTTCTTGAAGCAAAGCATCACGTTGAGAATTCAACGAGGAGATAAAGGATTCATTTCTCATTGGTTCTACTGTAATAACTGGAAGTGGAGGAGCTGAAGGAATGATAGACTGCGATTGCTGACTTTTCAAATTTACTGGCATCGACGAAGGTAGTGGCGATGGGTTTTCAATTGACAAAAGTGTTTTGTTTGATATATCGTTGCAAGGTCGTAACGGAATGACGGGTACTTTTGATTGTTCGAAAACAGTGGATGTTTCAGACGTGCTCAGAGTTTGAGGACAAGTTGTACTTGTTCTCTGATATATTAATGATGGCATAGATATATCTTGATGTGGACTATGCTTATTGTTATTGTTCTGTTTTGATGCTAAATAAGTGCGTGGAGGAATCTTTGGAGGACGGTTTGACACATAATCACGTTCATTATCACAGTAGTGCTTTGAAGCTACAAGAAAAAAAGGTTACATCTTTTTTTGACAAGCCAGAAAAAAAGCTCACTTTCAAAAAGTTTATCCAAACCATCTTTTGTGTTCGTAATAGTATGTTGAACATACATTTTCTCTTCTGGTGATAAAGGCATCTTAGATAAGACTTGTTTGAATAATATTATTTGTGCATCATCTGTCACAAAACTCTATATTATTAACAGCTGATAGATAAACATATGCATTATAGAAAATAAACGTACTTGATCAGATCCTACATGAATAATATGATTAAAACTAAAGAAAAATAAACATTAGAACCTATTTTAAATGAATTGTATTGTGCTATTCACCTTGAAGGAATTGGTGAAGATATAAGAAGTCGAGTAGTCTTGTTTTTTTCAGTTTTACTAGTAGGTTGTTCTAGAATTAGATAGAAGTAAAATGTTTTTTTTCCTCTTAAATTTCAAAACAAGAATTTTTCATTTACTTTTAGAGGATTTATCAGAGCTTGACACTGATTTAACTCCTTTTTTTATATCAACTGGCAATATTTTCACTTCATTCATGTTCACTGGTATCGACATTGACTGCATGTTTGTTGATTGTTGAAGTTTTTTCTTGTCTATTGTGAAAAAATAATAATTTTAGTAATAAAAATCTATGATTTTACTTTGTCGATTTTCTTGTTTGTTATGAAAATGATTACAAAACGTTTCAGTTTCAACATGATCAATAAAATTGAAACCAATTTTAAAATTCTAACTTATTAAAATCAATTAAAAAAATAAAAGACAAATATTCTAACCATTCCATCGAATACATAAAATAGATCATGCTTCTTTTCAAGACGTATTGATGAAGGTACTATTTCTTCAAAGATTGCTTCCTGTAACTAAAATAATAAATGAATATTTAAATATTAAAATAAAATTCATATCGTTTACTTGCAGATCATATAAACGAAAACAATAGTTTCTCTTATTATAATCTTTAACGAAACACAAAACACCACATGCGAGTTTTCTCCAGATATCATCATATTCATGTAGGACTTGGGCAACTGCCGTCGCTAAAGTCTAGAAAAATCAAAAGAAACCTTGAATCTATACATAAAAAATATTGATTGATCGTACCACACAATTCTTTCCAAGAATATTATATAAACATTGAATTTCACTTTGTGAAAGATTTTTAGGTGGGTTATGTGATGGACGCTGCTTGCCGACTGTCGTTCCATTATTGAATAACATTGTTGATGGAGGATTATTTGCAGAATTATTATGATATACTATAGCACTCATGCTAAAATTTTGAGAATAAACAGAACATGTTGGATGGTTGAAAAGATTTTTGATGATTTTTTGTTAAAAAAGTAGTCGTTTCTCCTACCACGCCGGTCATGTACCCAATTGCAAAACAACCGAAAGAAACAGTCAACTTATTGTCAGTCGCTTAACTAGATGATTCATCAACTTTTAGTTTATAGATACACAAAGAGTTATAAAAAGAACTGTTTAATTAATGAAACAAATAAATATGATTTTAAATAATTTATTATTAACAAATGAAATCAATTAAAATACGAATCAGATGTCACTAGTATCTTGAATCTTAACACCTATAACTATATACTATACTAACAGAATGCAATTTCCTGTTGTCAAGTTGAATTTATAGCTCTGGCTTTTGTAAACAAAGAAAATTTGATAGTAACTCTTTACTAATTATGAATCATTACACCTATGATAAAATCTTACTTATTTTATTTTTATGTTCGTAAAATGTCATGACTTCAGTAGAAAAAGGAAGTGACTTGTGTACACAGTAACCATGTTTGTGTCACGCAGCTCAAAACAAAAATATATTCATTGTCAGAAAGCTCATGTTATATAAAATCTATTATTATAATCATCGAGCGATTCACTTCATAAAAACAACAGCAACATTATAAATTTATCAAATGATTAATTTATTCATTGACAAACGAAATGTTTTTAAAAGAGTATTCTATTCACAAAAGAAATAATAAAAAGTATTTCGGTCAATGTTGTGCTCTTATCTGAGATAAACGATGAATAAAAATGTAAATATGAAATATTCTAAATTCAAAGAACTTCGAACGATAAAGTAATAAGATCCAAGATGAATCTAAGTTGTATGAAAAAGAATTAATTCCGATTCCATGCAAACTTGAAATTTATTCAGTTCAACGATCGATAAGCTGCGTTGAAAATTTTATATGATTATTGCAGAAAAAGAAATCTATACGTACAAAAGCATACAATCGTAGTAATAGCGCAAAAATTGTAAACACTTTGAATGAATAATAGTTTCAACAAACAATTTAATAGAAGACAGTCGACGGAATAGCACAATTATTTCGAACTGTAAATGACTCGGACGCTTTTATGTGACACTGATAAAAACACTTCAAATTCCATGATTTATATGAAATAATGATTTTACTTCCATGTTTTTGTTCACGTTAAAAAATATTTACCCTCTTATTTGCACAGTAATGTTAACTTTTTAGTATAACGTATGAAGCGTTTTTCGATAGTTTTGTTTTTGTCAAACATTTCTATTTAAAGTTGGATTAATCGATGAATCAATGTTGTCTCTTTAGCTGTAATGAAAAGATTTTTCCGTCAGAAATTCATCTGTATCTCTATCTAACATGACTATTATTTGATAACTATGATACAGGTGAATTGTCAAGATCGTTGAAGCTCACAGAAATTGATTAGCATTCAGATTAACGAACCACTAACATTCTAGGAAGATGAAAACGAATTTAAACGCACTTTGAATGTGATGGCTGACGATTCCATTTTTCTAAATGGTTTATTTAGAAATACGATCGCTTATGATACTAACACCTTAAATAAAACATATTTTGTTTTAAGAACGTTGTAAACTATCGAATTTCTCTCGTTAATAAAATATGGAAAAATATGATCGTCAAGCTGACCTGTAGAAAACATCAATATACAACATTTTAAGATTGCTAACGAATATTCATGTTCGATCTGAAATATCCCTCCAGACGGCGAACATTGTTATTGAATAATTCAAACAATTTTATTAAGAGATGAAGAATGAGTCTGACGTTATGATTATGATAAACTGAAATCATATTTTTTCGAAAACTTAATATTATCTTTTTCCGATTGTAATAATTAGAATAAGTGTGCTGATTTCTTTGTTATCTTTCTAAGTCTATAACATACATGACATTTCAAACACAAAGGTAATTCTTGGATATGAAGTGTAAAATCAATATACTAATATCCATCACGGTGTATTTGATACATATTGTTTTACAATAGAAAAAAGTTCAAATTTTCCTGGACGAAAAAATGTATTTCGTAAAAGTAGTGGCTTGTATACGTTTAGCTATACACTTATGTTTTTGCTTTATTTATTGCCTCACTGAACATATGCTGACATCGAAATGAATTGGTATTCATATCTATACTTCATCAGTCAAGAATCAAGTGAATTGTGTCTTGATCAAGGTTTCTTATTTAGCTATTATATTTGACTTGGTTTAGCATTGAGATTGATAGACTAAAATAACTGCGAAGATCTTCGTAATGATTGAAACAAAACTTCAGAAAAAGCCAGAAATTCAATTTCATGACAGACATATGTTTCAAAATATTATCACCAATGAAATTTAGTAGTGTTAAAACTTTCTGACGCGAAATCAATTATATTTTTTACATTTCTGGACTTTCATTAAAAACTTAGCTCCCAACTATTGTAAAATGGTGCAGTAATACTGAAATATTTTTCATTTTTAATAGTAATCTTGATCAAATATTTCAAAAAACAAAAACGTGTACAAATCATAACTGTATTGACAATTAGTTGAACTGTGAAAATGTATCGACTGTGTCGAAACAAACATGTTCCTAAAAAAAGAACATCATGATGATCTTAATGTAGACTTCGAGAGCAATAAAAAAGACACGAGTTTTAGCATACATTGATAATTATGAAATGAAACCTTGATTTTGTAGTAGTGTTTTTTTTTCTACTTATGAGATCCATTTCATATATTTATAATTAATGTTTCATTGGATATATTTTGACCATCATGTTTAATGTAAAAGTCCATCTTCTGATGAAGCCGTGTAATTTTAATTTTATAATTATTGTCAATGAATAGAATGACACATGGCGAGATATGGCAAAACAAATTGCCTATATTCGGAAATATATTTTTTACATAGAAAAGTGTACAGAATGTCTAAAAAGAAAAATTATACAATTGATAAAAGAAGACAATGTCCTTCTGGTACACTTTCGCTTTGATCATAATAGAAGTTTTCTTAGAATTAAAAAATATAGCACTATTATAACAAAATTTTGTAGTTGTCTGTTGAATATCAGACATTATACATAATTTTGTTCAAAAAATAAACTTCAAAGTAGTATGATTTCTGAAATATGCTCCCGTTTCTTAAAAATTGAAACCGCTGGAAAGTGAAATATAACACTTGGAATCGATAGAGAAATCTCTTAAATCTTAAGAGGTATTTACAGCTCTACAAGGATGTACACGTGTGATTGAATAAACGTAAGAAATAACCCAGTGAAAAATATTTCGAAAAAAACGGAATAGAATGGTTTCATGCGGATATGGAAACTTATCTCCTACGTAGAGAATGCGTTCCTTGTTTGAGCGAATGCGTTCAGAGTCAGAAAGAAATATTCTCGATCTGAAGGAACTCGTTCTTTACCGTTCCACACTAGTATGGAATACTTTCTTCTATACTGAAAAATCGTTCCCTATTTGAAGAGAAAGCATTCTGAATCATTCTTAAACCAGTAGAATTCATTCTAGTTCATTTTCTTTCGGAACGGTTAACATAGCATTTCATCGAAATAAAATAGCTTCCTTTTACGTTCTCTCACGAGCCTTTAAGACAATGGATTCTCTGAAGAGATGAATGCTTTCTTTTCGAAGCAAACCACATTTTCATTCTAAAATGAAAGGTCTGAAGCAAAGCAGGTTGAAATTGATGTGAGAAATGATGGAATCTTCATTCGATTTTACTTTAGGGATATTTGGTCCGATTTAGAAAAATTATTATTTTAATAACGGTTTCAGTTACAACGAATTGGAGTACGCCATTCGATAGAGCTCGTCAAGTCAAGTTGCATCAGGAACAGTCTTTTGACTAATTGTAGATTCATCTATTAATGATCACCCAGGTGATCAGAAAGGCTAACCGTTTTAAAGAAGAGAAAGCGTTCCACAAGTGGCAGAATGCGTTCTTCACTGTTCCATTTCGAAACGGCCAAGAACACCTTCTTAGAATGATAGAATGCGTTCTAGTTCGTTCCATTTGAGAACGGTTTCCATTTGTTGTGGAACGTTTTCTTTTCTTAAAAAAAGAGCCTCAGTTCTTTTGGAACGCATTCTTTACCGTTCTTTTTTAGTAATATTTTTCACTGGGAAGAACTTCATCTGAATTTAAAATAAAAACAAGAACATCCTATTAACGAATTAGCACATGTCATTCATCAATATTTTACGTATAATCTATTCTCATTGAATCGAATCTCCTAAAGCATACCCTAATCGAACTTTTTTATTCATGCGCTTGCAAGACTTAAGCTCAAGATGTGTCCATAGCGCATGACTTTCTTGCTCAAGACAAGTGCTTCAATGTTTGCATGAGTTACAAAAAAAATGCAACTATAATTTTTTATTAAAAGTTGAGTTATTGTGAAAAAAAAGTTGCAAAAATTTTTTAATAACAGAAACGCTTAGATAAAAATTCAAGCGCATGAACAAGAAGTTTAAGAACTTGAGCTCACCGAAAAGGTTCATGTCTTGCCTCAAGATGTGTCCATAGTTCTTGACTTTCTTGATTAAGAAAGTCAAGAATTGAATGGGCTTGCAAAAAAAATTCGACTAGGGTAGTGACCTTCCCAATTGAAAACTCATATACAACATAATTCGTTGTAATTTTTCACCATACTCATTCTTCTTTAGTTAAATTATGCCGCGTCTTTAGAGTTCTACGGATTGACATTATAGTATTAAATAAAATAAACTGTAAAATATGTTTAGGTAATATATTGTTATTCTCTAACTAGATTTTTTACATTGATCTCAATATGAATAGAATGCTGTATTCAGAGCAGCAGGCTCAAAATTTATATACGAATCTTATATAATTTGTGTTTTAAAAACAGAATTCTATTAAGAAATTAAGAAATTAAGAAAAAATAACAAAAGAATCTTCAAGTCGAGTATTTAGCCTTCATAAAAGTTGTCACCAATAAAATTCTCTAAAAAGTCTGCTTATGTTTTTAAATCTCCAGCAGATTTCGTACTATGAAAAGGATGAGATTTTTTACCGTACTTCTGAATCATCGGATACCATGTCGCTAAATAATTGCTCAGAGTTCCATGTAACTATTTACTATTTTTTTAGTTTCTAACAACTAATAATAATAAAAATCTCAGATTAGTATGGGAACCTTTGAATTCTGCTCAGGAGGTATTCTTCACTTGCTTCACATTTTCTCTCGGAAGATACGTATGTCAGATTCATTTTGAAAGGTATTTATGCAATGATTTGCTATTCTTTGGATGTTTTTTGTTCTCCTTCATTTGATGATGCATCAACAAAAACCATGAGTCAATGGAATGTCATAAGCTGCCTATATTCTTCTATGAACATATTCCACTTTGAATACTCATTACTTAGGGAATTGTTCTTTCTCGATTATGAGTCTTATAATTTGTGAAGTAAGGAAAGTTCTTTCTCATCTATTCGTCTGTAAATAGTTTACTCGGTGTCATTTATATCAAGCTCTGAGAACTTCTGGGATTTCTCAAATCTTCTGTATGTAAGTTTTACTGATATCGTCATCGTAGATTTTTAAAAAATAGTCATAGATATCAGCATAGTGAGATGTAACTCAGGTAAATCTCAATTTTTCCAGACTTTTAAGTTTTGATTTTTACGCTGAGATTACTCCTGGACTTTAATGCAGTTTTGATTCAGATGGGTCCATCTTTCCCACTTTCTCATTAGAGAACTAATCTAATTCAAACAATTATCCAGTCTGACAAAATCCTTGAAAAAACATGTCTTTGCACTATAAAATGTTGACTAGTCATTTTTCAAGAGCGAAAAAGCAAGAGTGAAGGTGATGATATTGCACAAATTTGTTGTTAGTAACCATTTTCAGCGTAAAAATGACATGTTTTAATGGATTAATTTGATGGAAAGATTTTCGAATATATAATTTTTGTTTCTAGATTGATTTCATTTTATTGCATAGAAGAAAATATGACTAATGGCAATTTTACAAACGACGATTTGTATTATGATCTAAGACAAAACATGCATGCAACAAGTGAAAAAATTAATTACTTAGAACGTTTGCATGAATTCAAATCGACGAGAAAACTTTGTCCAATAGATACTCAGGTTTTTGATGTTCCATAATATGATTAATGATGATTTTCTCTATCACGGTAATATTAGTAATGCACGCAACATAGAAGTACTCCATGAACTTGATATTCAACATATTCTTAATGTAAGTCAATTCTCATCAAGTAAAGATATATTGGGTTGTTTTAATGAATTATCGATCAATGTGAATGATACACCTGAAACCGACATTAGTCAATATTTCAATCGAAAAAATTAATGTTTACATGCATGCAAATCTCAGAATGAAAATGTTCTAGTTCACTGTCAAGCGGGTATTTCTCGTTCATCTGCGATAGTTCTTGCTTATCTGTTGAAGTAAAATAAAACAAAAAAGAATTTTCACTTGTTTCTGAAACATTGATCTTTTATATCTCATTTTTAGATACCAACAGAAGACATTGCTTGCAGCCTATGGCTACTTGACCGAACGCCGACATCTAGCTGAACCAAATGGCTGCTTTCTACTTCAATTGATTCGTTACGAAAAGGAATTGCATAATCTTACTTAGTAGTGAAATTAAATTTCCTTTAGTGTTTTCATTAAATGCACTCTGTAATGGACTATATTTTTGAACTTTTTCCCTTTGTTTTATCTATATTCATCGATGCAACTATAAATCTATTGCAAGTGCTTCTAAAAGAAAAAGGAACTCAAGTTGTCCTATTTCTATTTTGATAAAATGACAGAAAAGTTGAGATCATTTCGTGACTTAGAATGTCGCTGATTTTTACGCTAAATAACCAATTTTAAATCGAATTCTGATGATAGTCTAATGATCAGTTTTTATAATTGTTCATTCCTACAAGGATTTTTTTCATTTGCTTTATTTTATATTAATGAACGATATCACGTATATTCTGTTATAATAATATTATCAGAAAAATGATTTATATATTAATTCATTAACACACAGTAAATATTTTTCTTATTAATCTAATCGAAGAAGATATTGAGAACAAGAAAACAAATATTAGTGCAATAAAAGATAAAATTCAATCAATATTCTTTTTGCTTTTTAAAACGAAAAAACAAATGTAACTAAATGAGAAACAAGAAATAACTTTGACAGATTCAGTTTTATTGTTTTCGATTAAGTCTTTGTTTATACATATATGCAAGAGATTTACATGTTGCATATATAATATCTCGTCTTGATGTGCCACTCATCATTTCATGCCAATCTTCTGGATTAACAAATGGTAATTGAGAGTGAAGAATTTCTCCAATCGTTACCATATAACCACTCCATTTTAATGGATAATCAGCTGGTGTACGATCTCGTGCCTGATAAACATATTCAATAGGTATGGGGATAGCTTGAGTAAATAGATGTAATTCAATAGAATTTAATGGATCAGATAAAAGAACATAACCAAGATCAAAATACATATCTGGAACAAGTTCAGCAATAAAATTTTCAATGGAGACAACACATTGATCAGGTCGAACTACATTTTGACGACGAAGATTTTCAATACGCTGTTGAGCACCTGAAAAATTAGAGATTGTTTTTATAACAACGGAAACGATTTTTCTTCTTTTTATTTTATAAATGACTAACCTTTGAAACCAGCTTCAAACCCAACTGGTTGAGGAGCAACATTTGATTGAACACCCTATAGAATTTTATATAAGAACTGCATAAAAATGAATAAAAGGAATCAGTGATACTTACAATGCCTTGAGTTATTACTCTGCCAAAGACTTGTGTAAATGCATCACGTACAGGTGTGAGCTTAATATCTTTAGCTGATGTTACTACAATATTAATTTCATGTCCTGGTTCTAAATAGTGAAAGCTATTTTCGATGATTAAACAAAAAACGGACATAATCAATACATACGAATATACTGCTTCATTTGAGGATCCACTGTTGTTATAACCGTTTCAAGACCAGTCTAATATAAGAACGAGAAAGCTCAGTAAAATTAAAAAATAGAAGTATATGTCAAATTGTTAAACTACATTGATTTCTCTTCATAGTTTTTGAAGTTCACAACGTATTTAAAAACAGAAAAATAATTTTCCTTTTAAGATGAAGAGTTAACATTTTATTTTTTAAAGATGTGATCTGTTCAAATTATTCATAGCATAAAAATTAACAAAGAAAGGTCCGTACGAGTGTAAAGAGTAGACTTTAGTGAGTTAAAAACGTTTGCTTCCCAATTCTAGTAGATTCTTCTATATTAAACGAGCCTAATATGGAGAAAAAATTACTGCAAGAAATAGCACGTTTTCAGACATCATTTTTTAAACGAAAACTTAATTTAGTATATGTTGATCTCTTGAAGAATTGTTTTTTTATATTATTCTATGCGCTGGAAGAAAAACTACATTTGTGGGTTCTACTAAATGCTACAAGTCTAGAGTTTGCTTATTGTAACGACTCTGATATTTAATTGAATCCTACTCAGTGTCGTTTTCTAGTGTGTAGACTAATAGAACACAACCGAGAATAGATTTTGGTACACACAGTTCATCATGGTGACTTTCAAATTGTTGTTGAAAAATTGTATAGCATCATATAAAAAGAATTTCTTCATGTTCGAAGTAGGAGAATTGAATCGAATCGATATCCAATAAATTAGAAGAGGATAGACAAGAGTACGTCAATTATTTGGCAAAATGATCAGATTCAATTTCAAGTTATTTTACAGATTCATTAATTTGAACATGTTTCTTATTGTTTTCAAAATTTTACTAAACTGATATATTCATTCCAGTAGAAAAATAAGTACCCTAGCTTTCTCGACCACTGTAGCCAACATTTTATTATTACTAATCCAACCCCAAACGCCACTAGGATGTGCTGGAGACATCGGATCATTTTGTTGCTGATCAAATGTAGATGTTGGATAATTTGTCCACGGCGTTGGATTAGGTTCGCCTTTATAAAAATCAAATCTATAAAAATTTTATTCGCGTTGATTTCAAACCTGGTGATTGATACGAAGGATTGTAAATATTTGTATCAAGTCTTTAAAAAAAGAATGAAAATTATCTTTATCTTTATCAAAGAATTTAATATTTACCCTGGAAAAGCATTGGGTATAGCTGAACTAACTACAGCCGGTGGTGGAACAAACACATTACTAGATGGTGGCGGTATATTTTGTTGTTGAAAACTAACTGGTGCAGGTAATTGTTGTGGTTGAAAACTAACTGGTGGAGGTAATTGTTGTGGTTGTAAAGGAGCTTGTGATGTAGGCATACTTGGATAGATACGTTCTGTCAATGAAGCACGAGCAGAATACGGATTTACTTGTGCTGCTAAACAATAAAAGAAAAAAAGAAAAGAAAATGCTTTTTTGTATCCTTGTCAAGTCGAAATTCATTTACTAGTGCCAAATTGTTGAGAAGGTGGAGGCATTGCAAAATTCGGTTCTTTCATTGCTGTAGAAGGAGCTGAACCGGGTGGAAGAGGAAAAGCGGGAACAAACTGCGAAGTATTCTGTGCTTTTGGAATATCTTGTGTTGTAAGCGCTACCATCATAGGTGGTGGAATATTTGTTGTTTCTATACCTTGTGTTGTAGGCATTGGAAATGGGATTGATTGTGATAGTGATACTGATGGCATCGGCTGATTTCCAATTGTTAATTTAGGTTGAATTAATGATGATAAGGATTGTTGAGTATTCGCAGGATTTAATGGGGTGAATGCCGATGGTGGCGACTCAAATGGATTTGACACCATTGGCGGGCGCAGCGAAGGTTGAAGCAGTGGTGATGAAAATTGTGAAGTTGATATTGGTGATTGAAAAAGTGGATTTAATGTCGGAATGTTATTTGCTCTTTGTTGGAACAACAATGGTGAACCAGTTGATGGACTTCGAGTTACACTAGTTGGAGCTGGGAAAAGAGGTTTAAATGGAGTATTGACCGCACTTGTAAATGAAGCTTTAAAAAAAGTAATATTATTAATATATATATATATATATATATATATGTCACGACAAAATGTTTTACCTTTTGTAACATCGGTATTAGCTGCATCTTGTAGTTCAGATGTAACAAGTTGTTCCGTTAGCATTCTCGGAGGTCCTTGAGATAGATCATTATCTCCAATAGTATCATCAGCTAGTTCATCATTAGAATCAGAAAGAGCTATGTTTTCCATTTTTCAAATGAATAAGTCAATTTCGAATCCACGTCAGCGAGTTTTTTTTCTCTGCCTGTCTATGTGTTAAAATAAATAAATATTCTTGGAGAAGTATGAATGGTAATGTTTTAACAAATTAGATTTCTGAAATTCAAACGACAGATGGCGTCGTTGTTCGTCATTTTACCTGTATCGTAGATTTGACTGAATTGACTTAGTAGGAAAATGACTTCAGTATTGTTTATAGAAATTATAGAAAAAGAAAACTATTAGCAAGATACTAGAATAAGGCATTCGTTGTTACAATAGAAGAAACTAACTCGATTTTCACAATTTATAAGTATACATTTTATTTACTAGTAGAAATTTTCAACTTTTTTCTTTTGTAGTAATTCTCTAACTTGTTAATATATCGCTCACATAAACTGCCCTCACTTAGAGTTTTTCCTTAACGAAGTTTGAAACCGAAGAAATGTCTTTTTCTAATATATCTGAAATAAGTGAACGATGTGACGGTACAAGAATAAGGTACGTTTGAGTTTACGCTTGGTATTTATACACATAGAATAGATTGTTTTCCTTGTATTATCATCCTTCCTATTTTTCTCTCTGTTGTCTATGATTACATTTCAATATATTTATATCCATATTCTTTCTTCGTTCATGTTCAAACTTTTATGTTATCAATTCGTGTCATTAGCCATCATTAATAAATATACCGACAATCTAAAAGAGGACAAAGTTACGATGTCTTTGCAACAATACGAAACGACGCGAAATATTTTCGAACTAATCTTAGTTCATTCAGATCTATATCACTCAAGTAAAATTATTCAGAAAACAATTCTCTCCATTAAAGAACTTGTCTTGCAAACGTTTTCGTTATCTAAGTTTTTGCTATACTTCTACTGTAATATAGATTGTTCATGTTGAAAGTAGGATGTTACCAACCTATACATACTCAGTATATGTTTGATATAATAAACGTGACTAACAATGGATTTAACTATAATTTTAGAAACATTTTAATAAATATTTTCAAAACAAAGAATGCAATGAGTTTCCCATTAATAGATCACTTATTTATTTGAATTAATAATAATAAAATTTAGTGCAAGTGTTATTATATGATGAACATGATTTAGAATGGTGCTTCATCGTTTGCTCTATGTGTTGATTGGAGATTATTATTTCCATCATCATTCAATGTCAAAACTTGTATATCCCGTTTACCATCAATTTTAGTTGGTTGTGATACATTGGATTTTGCAAATTTTTCTTCATCGATTGAATCAAGATTCGTGTGAAACCCTCGATTTTGCTTAGCATGAAAATCATTTGTTGCTGGTAGTGTTTGAGATGTTCGAGGACGAGAGCTCGTTTTTGGGGTAGTTTCACGATTTGAAGATAAAGATTCATTTAAGGATGCACTCGGAAATCTAAATATTGATAAACTTTTGTAAAAGAAAAAGTTCTCTTTATAATTCCATTACTTTGTTGTCATAAATGAATCAAATGTATCTTGATTGGCTTGAATAGATTTAGTACTTTCTATAAAATAAGCAGTTGGTTGAATACGTCCACTCTCTTCTAGTCCTTTAATAGCTGATGTGATTAATTGACGTACAGTTTCTTTTTCTAATAGATAGATATATAATGTGAATAGGAGTTGTATCACAATCAAAAGAAACTCTAAACAAACCACTTGAATTTGATGAAACAAGCCATGATTGTACGTCATTCACATCTTGAGTTTTTAAAATTTGACAGAGTACTTGAAGCATCTAAAGAAAATAATAAAAACATGATTTATTTTGTTTGAGACGAAAAAAAAAGAAAAAATGAAAGAGTAAAACCATATTTTCTTACCCACAGCTCTCGTTCTTGTTCGTCAACACAAAATAAATGATTAGGTACAAGCGATGAGAGTGGCGTTCGTCCACGTAATGATTTACTACGGTTTAATGTTCGAGGTGTTTCATTCCATCGGCCAGTTCTTTGGCTATATTCACCATTAGTTCTTTGCGATGAACTTCTTCGTAATGGTGAATATGTTGATTCTTTTTTATGTTCAATTTCTGCTAATTCTTCAGTTGTTACTAAACCAACCGTTTCAGCTATACGTGAAAGTTCGCGTCGCCAATTTTCTGAATCTTCAACTAAGTTGTAATATGAGAAGAAAGTCTAATAGTTATTTTTAATGATACATACCTACCTATAAATTTACAAAAACAAAAACAGAAACATAACTATTGAACTATTTAAAAAATCAAATATTTAACATACTGCTCCGGATGAATTCCAACTTTGAATAGGAGGAAGAAATCGTTCTCGACGCTGTTTTGGTTGAAGTTTTTCTGCATAAGAGCGAAGCAAAGCCTCATTATAGGAATTCGGTGGAAATTCAATAGTAAAACGTGGATCAGATAGTAACGACTTAGCTATATCACCTGTTGGATGTGTTGGTAAATGTGGTACATCATCACGTACGTGACATACTTTGACACCGGCAGTTCCTAGATTGTTTATATTTAATGAAAAAAAAAATTATCTGATAAAAATAAAAAAATTACCAGTAATGAATTTTAGATACTTTGGTTGAGGAACATGTCGTGCGAAGAACATATTTCTTGATAATTGTCCAAAACGACTTGCTGTGTGCAAGCGTGATCGTTCGGTATCAGTATCCATCTTTGCACAACTTGTATTCTGTAAAATGAAGTAGAAAAAAGCGAAACAAAAAGCAGTCAACACAACATTAAATGAAGTTATGTACACTGAAGAAAATTCTGCAGCCGAGCAACAGTGATGAACTTTAGAGATTAGTAAGTGTGTGAACATACAAAAAATTCCAGCAGAACTGGCGAATATGAATTTTCTTTTCTTTTTTTGTTGCTCTGAGGACAAAGAAATATTTTGAAAAATATGAGACTATGAATTCGTACTTGTTAATCAATTTTCGTGTTTTCAATGCATAAAAAATATCTAATTCTAATTTTTATCACTTATTCAGATTCTCAAAATAAGATACGTATGATTAACCAAATAGATGTTTTTGTTTTTCAATGGAAATATTGATCCTTTTAAATAGCTATTATTTAGACAAATTTTTATGTGGCTTTGTACATTAATTATTAAAATTTCTGTTTTAATTAGTCTTTGAACTGACTGAGATGAGATCCTTAAATTAAAGAAATAAGAATACCGTTGAATACTATTTTTTAGCTAAATGTAACATCACAGTTGACGTTAATTGAACTGATCATTGTAGTAGAAAAACTACTCTGAATCATGTTTGACCTAAATGTGATCAAAGCCAATTGAAATAGAATCCTCAAAATACGAAATGAATCAATGCGTTATTGTGTTTTTAGCTATAACGAGTTTTGGTTGCAATAAAAAAGGAAATATCTAATAATTGTTTTTTTTTAAAACTCAAATACGAAACAGTAGAATTTGAAAATAGTTTAACTAACTTCAACAATGTAATTTAAATGTTGAATTTTTCAACTTCCTGTTAATATTTAATTAACAAATGATAGTAGACTGCAGAATTTTCATCGTCCTAACTTATATGTAGTTATTATGTGTTGTATTTTGTTTTCATAAAAACCAAAACAGTGACACACAAATAGTATATTTTCATTTGAAAGCTAAAAATGCCGAAAACAAATCTGTATAAAGGCATAGTTAGAGCTTGTTATAATAGAAACTTCATCAAAATCGTTTAAATAATTACGTTTTCTTTTGATTATTCAGTACATCGATAATAAACATATAAATAATATTTGAATTTTCGACAATAAAATATGTATGTTCGTCATTAAATATATATGAGTTCAAAAAGGAAAATTCCACTCATCTAGATAAAATTTGTTTTCAACAGGAATTCATTACATTTTTTTATTATTCTTCATACGTCGTAGTTTATTTATATACAATACACACGATTAATAAACGTAGGACTCTGATCTGAATCTTTCAGCATGAATTTATTACTCATTTGCATGCTGTAATATGTCTCACGCATCTATGGTTACATGACTACATTCCTGCATGAACTCTATTTTTTCAAATTTTCTCTAATAACTATTCTGCCAAAAGTCAATGTATTCAGGTGATTTTTATAGAGATATGCGAAGTTCTGTTCGTGTTTTTTTCCATGTCACAAAAAGAAAGAAATTTTTGAAAGGCAAAAATTGAAATATCAAGTTGACACCAGAAAAAAACAATTGGACTGTTGTAAAATGTTGACATGTTGATATTTACATATAGATACGAATTGGAAATAAAATGACGAATGACTATGAATCGCGTATGAGTAGCAGACTTGTGTTTTTTTTTGTTTTTTGAGTGCGAACGGAGAAAAGAATGAGTGCGAGAGAAGACGCGATAACATTGACAAAATAGAAGTATCATTATTATTTTCATTGTGAACAGTAAGACATGAAAGAATAGCGTTTTTTATTTGAGAAAACTCGACTTGTATAGGAAATGAAACGTAACATAAGGGGATCCTCTCGGTTGGTCCTCATTACCAATTAGCTCAACTCGTCCCCCCTTAATTGACTCTCAATTCGTCCCCTCAAGTAGGCCATCCCTGTCTAGAAACAATTTGAAACAAATATAAAAATAATAGCCATCAATAAGAAAATTGATTGCTGCATAGAGCACTCTGCATATATCTATATATGATGTGCTTTCTTAGTAGTGTATTATTTTCACTACTGACATTCTCTACGCTCTGAGAAATGCTACTATTTACATCTTCAACTTGATCAAATTATTGCTTGAAGAGAACGAATACCAGCATCACCAGTCCGAAAAGTCGGAAGTTCACCTACGCAAACGAAAGAAGGTGAACGATGCTATTGACGAGAATCTTGAGCTCCTTCTAAATGACCATAACGGTGGATTGATCATTGATATGCAACTCGCGATTAAATGCGGACGCGCGTTGAAGACAAAACTTGTTAAATGATTTTTTTTCTTCTTTCTTTTGTTTTTTCTTGTTCCTTTTTTTACTCTTGAATAAAACAGCTGATTGTTGGAAATCATCTGTTTATCAAATTAGTCATCAATTAGTGCGAATTTTGTAGGGGACGAATTGAGAGTCAATTAGTGCGGAGGGGACCAATTGGGGACGATCCGAGAGTAATCCTTTCATCATAGCATCTGTTTTTTCTTCTAATGAATAAAATATAGAATTTCAAAAGCATTTTTAAGATTTTGACTTTATCAACGTTCATATAGATACATTTAATAGATGTTAATGTAACTTTCAACCAGAGTGTAAGAAAAAAACTACGAGAAAGTAAAATTTTCTTTCTTTTTATGAGTTTAGTTAAGTGTTTGTCATAGAAAACTTCGTAATTATAAGTTAGAACTCTTTGTTTTGTTGTATATGGAAACCGATAGAAAATTCGTAAAACTTTTATTCAGAAGATTTTTCTTTCTTCTTCGTCTTCGTGGATTCAATCATTTGGCTGAATGATCACCGATTTCTTCATTTCATCCATTAGTTTCGTTCTATACAACAATGAATGATCACAAACAGGATGAATATTGAGAAATGCTAAGACTATTCAGGTTTTCACTTCAGTGAATTGATGATTAATCGTTTTGTTTTATTAATTATTAGATTATTTTTTCATTTTCCATATTTTCTTTTGTCTATTCATTTCATTATTACAATGTAGATTTATGATGTCACAGAAATTTCAAATTAATCATAATTATTCTTACCAACCAAGTTTATTTTGGATAAAAACTGTTCAAGCACATACATCTTTCTTATTTTCATTTATTCTATTTTTTGCTTATGCAATTATATTTCTAATTGGTTTCATCGCAAATATATTAGTCATTGTTATAATTATAAAACGTCGACGTATGCGTGCATTAACAAATCGGGTTTTTGCTCAATCTGGCTGTATCAGATCTTATTACAACACTTATTTGTTTACCACCAACTGTATATCCTTATTATGATAAACGTTGGATATTTGGAGAATTTCTTTGTCGATTTGTACCATTTATGCAAGGTAAAAATAGCAGTTTCACATAGAATATTGAAGTGCAAATGTAAAAATTCTCTACAAGTATTCTATAAGTGAAATAGTAATTAACTTATGTCTGAAACAAAATTAATTGAATTCATATCTGACTTTTGCGTTCACAGATATAGCTAAAGACGTGTCTGTCATATTTTAACTCGGTAGCAATGTTTGAACAAAAATTGCAATCTTCTGTAGTAGAACAGTAGCCGAAAATTAGTTTCACTCATATTTAAATAATATAAACTAATTATCATTTGTTTCAACTGAATGACAGGAATTCTCTTGAGTCTTATGAATGTTGTATTTATTCGACTTCTAATTATACATAGAATTGATAGAGATTCTTTTATTCTCTTAAAACAAAACCAAAAATAATACTAGGTACATCAGTAGCTGTCTCGATTTTTACATTAATGGCTGGTGAGTACTTGAGAAGTGAAATTTTTAAAATTTTTTATTAAGTTGTTTTTCTTCTAATTCTCAGTCAGTATTGATCGTTTCATTGCTATTCATAAACCAATACATTCAAAATTACTTTGTACTCCAATACGAGTACTAATTACTGTTGGTATGATCTGGATTGTTTGTATGTAAAATTTCTAAAACTCAATTTACATTCTATATTCTATAAATAGCATTTGTCATAATGATTCCACTTATTTTACATCATCGAATAGTCGATCCATTTGAAATAATATTAACCGCATGCGCTGAAGACTGGGATCAAAATATGAACGCTCGATTAGCCTATGGTTTTATTCTACTGTTTGTTCTTTTTATATTACCATTAACATTGATGACGTATTGCTATGTTCATATAAGTTTTTCTCTATGGTTTATTGATTCAAATGTTCAAACACCATTATCATCAACAACAACCAATGCCGCACGTTGTTCAACTATTTCAGAAGATTTTCCAATAGATATTCGAACGAATTCTGCACAAATACTCGATCATTAGTTGTTCGTCATCATAAAACAAATGAAAATAATCTTTTTAGTCAAGTACCATCAGATGAATGTCGTTCATCACTAATGCCAAATCGACAACGATTAAGTACAATACTAAATGATCATAATACCAATCGGTATTCATCGAATATTATTTCCAGACGTTTTAGTGAAAGTAATTCTAAATCTAATACAAATGTGTTTAAATTAACCACCCAAGAAAGATCAATATCGACATGTCCCAGACATTCAGTAACACAATATGCAAACGGAATGATTCGTTCAAGTTGTGCATCACTACCAAGTCAAACTCGAAATATAAATGGAACTAATCAACAACGACGAGCAGTTTTTGATTTTGAACATGCAAGTCGATTTTTACAAAGTCGTCGTCGAGTTGTTAAACTGCTCATTACTTTGGGTAAAAAAAATGTCTTTTGTATTTTCATAAATAAAATAATAATCTTATATTTTATTATTTTAAGTCATTGTCTTTTTTATTACAAGACTTCCATTAAATATTTTATCAATTTATATTGATATAACATCTGATACATATATTCCGGAAGATGCATATAAAAATAGAACTAAATTAGAATATGATCCAGATCAAGGAGCTGCTCAATCATTATATGTAAAAAATACAGATAAGAATATGTTTCTTGTTCTTTATGTTAATCCAATATTTCAATTATTTTCTTTATCGAATTCAACTATTAATCCACTATGTTATTGTGTTATGAGTCGTGCTTTTAAACATATTTTTATGATATTTCAACAGAAAATACGACGTAGTCGTAAGAAAGCTTCATCCTTAACACTAGTTCAATGATGCTTATTAGACGAAAGATAAACAAGAAAAAGCTAATTAATATGAAAATTGATTTATATATCGGTATAGATATAGATATAATAGGAACTAATGCGGTATACTATATTATTGAATATTTGCAGAATTTCTACACCTAACGATCTTTTCAAAATCACGAAGAAATAAATGCGGAAACATCGGATTTGCATCCGATTGTTATGTGTACTTCAAAAAGCGAAAATGTACATCCATTTTTTTCTATAAGACATAGATCTCATCAAGATACATCCCTTCTCGTTAAATTACAAGGAGAAAATACAGGCATGCTAAGTTAGCATGGACCACACTGTATGCAACTCTATCCAGTGAACACTGACTCTACTCTCAGCATGATATAATATCTTTAGAGATCACAGAAATTGAGCTCAGATTCGTGTTCAGCTTCGAAAACTGGATGAAAACAGTTATTTTTGAATGGTTTTGTATTTGTATCTAGCAGGATTACGATCGTAAGCAACCTCATGAATTTATCAGAGATATATGATAGATACAGGCATCAGTATTTTCATAATAAATCATCAATAGTAATAGCTATCGAGTTCGGGCTTTTACCTTTCGATAGTCCTTTTGACTAGCAACAAAACCAGGCATTTGAGAAGGAAGCTCCCAAACTGCTGGTCATCTGAGACATATCTAGGCAATTTGGTTTCTAGATGTAGTTTTTGTGTATTTTGAGACCTTTTTCAGTCAATGTTTCGTTAAAAAACTACGATTTTTTTCAAAACTAATATCAGATTCAAAATCAGCGTTAAAAACTGGGTCGATTTAAATATGTTGTGGATAATTCTGAGAAAAAAGGTTTTTTTGAAAAATCCCTGTACTCCCCCTCAGGGATTGTCCGGTCAATAATGACAATTTTTTCGATAACTCAACCATTTCTTGACGGATCCTTCTCATCTTCGAACTCGACTGAGACATTGATGAGGCTGAACTGTGTAGAAAATTTCATCATGATCTAACTCTCCTTTCGAAAGTTATCGTGTAAACGGACGGCCGGACGGACACACTGACCGATTCTAGAGTGTACTCATTTTTTGTGCACACAAAAACGAAAGTGCTACTAGCTTACTGTGGGGTAAAAGTTGTTATACGTTAAATAGAGATTTTCAAGCTCATTAAAAAAATATGATTTGCTTCATTCCTTTTTTTTATGTACGTGATCTTTTTTCTCATCACCATTATTATTATTATTATTATTATTATTATTGATAAACACCGTTTATTCTTTTAATTTATCAACCAACATAAGACTGCTGCTATGTTGCTATTATTGTTTATTCCATATTGTACATTAGCTTGAATTTGAATGATTAATTTGTATTAAGGTTGATGCTCTCAGCTATGAAACTTAAAAAAATAGAACAAAAAATATGGGATATCGGTTTTAGAATAGGAGAACATTTTTTTTTGCAGCTTTTCATCCTTATAAACTCATCACTTGTTTAAAAAGATCATAGGTAATCAATTTGTATTAATCATGTCTATCAATAACTAGAAAACAAGTGAATTTGAGAGATAAGCTTAATTGAAATAATTAATCATGATATTTAAACAACCAACAATTAATCAGGATTCATCTACTATTTAACAAGAAGAAGAAGTGAATCGTAAATTACAGTATTTTGTTTTTCAAGTAATCAACTGATTATGTCTCAGAAGAAAGTATGCCTCTTTAGAAGCAACTCATTTATCTTTTCTTGAAAAAGATGTAGACTACAAATTAAATTAGTCGATTCATTTTAATCAATACAAAACAAGAGAAAGTGTATCTTGCCTTTTGTGCATCCGAATCATTTTATTTTATTTCAAAATTTAATAATAGAAATTGGAAGACATCCTAAATGCTTGATTTCAATTTATTATTGAATACGTTCAATAGAAGCGAGTTTTTTTTATATCGCACATTGCTTTACGTTCATCAGATTAGTGCATTTCTACCAATAATCTGCAGTTATAATTAATACTGTGTTAATTTAATGAGTATTTCAGTATTTTTAACATAAAATTATTTTTTGCGGAAAAAAAACAATTTATAGTGTTAACTTATCAAAACCATATACGCAGACTATTTCTCTAACTTATAATAATTATTAGGTCATATTCTCGTGGATATTACACTGAAAAATCAATTAAACAACTGAACAATAATATTTGCCACTTGTTCAGGTGTCTTAGTTTTCTAATAGATTTAGATATCGAATCCTTAGAACTGGTGCATCACCGCTCGTTTATATTTAAATCTTAATTTATAAACGCTCACTTTCTTCGCCGTACGCAGCCATTAGTACTTCAGCTAGTATACGATAGATACACATCTACGTATGTGAACGTTCGTTTCTAGATTCAATTCTTTTACTTAAAAATTTATGCGTTTGAACATGAATTTATCATTTTTTTTCAATCAAATCAAATAAACTAACGAATTCAATAGATGGATGGGTAAAATGGGAATATAGTTCGTCGTGCTGATTTCTATGAAATCGCATTATTGAATATCTATGTAGATTTTTTGTCTTTATTTCGTTGCCAGATTTGGTATGTTAACGTTGAAGCCAATGACACCCAACCAAAATAAGGCACTAAAAGATATGAAGCCGTTCGATTGATTGGATAAAAAGTACCTATACATAAGCCAATATTTGCTAACAATAAAAGAATTTCACCAAAAGCCTGAAATAATAATTAAAAATCTTACGATGTACTTCAAGGATATTGTCTACGTACAAGTCCTAATTTATGATAACTGAAAAATATTGGTGTCCAAAGCCAATTCAATGCAAGCTGTGAGCCATAAAGAATAAGAGCACGATTACGATATTCACCAACAGCATCTCGATAGATAAGATATGAAGCATAACCCATCATTGTGTACAATATTGTCCAAACAGGTCCGAAAGCCCAATTTGGTGGCCTCCATGATGGTCGATCCAGTTTTTCATACCTATAAATAATAAGATTGTTAACTTTTCATTAACTTTTTCTTGTAGATCTACCATGATTTTATATTATTTTTTGTAATATATCCACCAGCTAAGCCACCTATTTACAACATTATACATATTTTTAGATATAAAACAGCAAAAAACTATATCACCTAAATGTGGTAAAAGTGTTAATCCAACAGCAGCTTTTGATAAACTCATTAATATTAGAGAAATCTACAAGCAGAAATAAACATATACATCGAAATATCTGTTTCAATAAACAATAGTTAGATTAAAGCAAATAAAATGTTATTGTTGATATGGATCTGGTGCTGGTCGTTGACGACGGGGTGGCGACTGAGCATAAGGTGAGTTGAGTTGCCATATTGACATGGCTAATGCAGACGCTAAAATTTGAATCATTTATTTAAAAAAAACATCTAAGACTAAAATTGTGAATTTACCAAAACCAACCCAAATAAGATATGGAACTAACAGCATACTAGCATAGGAATTGATTTGCCAAAATTGTAATACACAAATAAAGATGTTTATAAATAAAATGAGTAAAATAACAAGTGCCTAAAGATATTTTTTCGTAAAAAACCGTTTTCTTCTTTTCTTTGTGCTTACAGCTCCTAATTGATGAAAAACAAAAACAATTGATGTCCATGACCAATTTAAAAATAATTGTATGAAATAAAACGTTAATGCAAGCGTTCTGAATGGTCCTTGACCATCACGGGCAATCAAATAGGAAGCAATACCCATAAAAAGATAGAGTATTGTCCAAACGGGACCGAATATTGCATTGGGTGGATGCCATGCTGGTTTTAAAAGTTTCTGTAAAAGAAATTCAATAGTTACAGAAAGACAAACAATTTCTTTAAAAAAGTTCAACTCAAACTAGAAGACACTATACTGAAGGATCTGATTGTTTTTGTCCTATTATCTTTTTATCATTTAATAGTCATACACAATCGTAGAATTAATTTCTTTATGGAGACGTTCTATGAACAAAATCAAGCGTACTTAAAAATTTGTGTCTATTTTAAAATACTCATAAAATTGTCAAGTTAATTTCTTTTCATGGTCGATAGAACATCTTGATGAATAAATAAAATGTACTGATGTAACGGTCAACAACTTCAATGCTTATGTATCTGCCAAATCATGAGCATATATCAACACTGCAGTAATAGCGTAGTTGTGTTCAACATCTTCTATATAGGATACAAATTTGTAGTTGCATAGACTGTGAAAGATACATAGCAGAAGACTATCATCAACTCTAGTCAAAGGAGTTTAGAGTTGTCTCGTCGAGTCACAACGTCGCTCAATTATATCCCAGCTTAAACCAGCAGTATGTTGGCATATAATCGAAGATTATCTATATCTAACGTTTCTTTATTGTACATGAACAATTTTCCTATTATATTTCAGAAAGATTTAATTGAAGGATTATCAAGATCTATAGTCTACAATAAATAGGTGTATAATATTGTATCTATGAGTAGCAAGAGAAATTACATAGGATTTTACAGCTTGATTCAATAGAAATAATACCAGAAGCTATTTTAAGCCAGACTTACATCATACCAAGTTTTAATTTGTTTCGCTGCCACAACTCCACCTAGAACACCACCAACTTGTGGCAACAATATCCAACCGAAGAAAGATATCCAATTCATATCCATGAAAACTGATAAATGATCTTGAAACGATGCGAATGAACAGATTTTGTTTAATTGGTGAAACGAAATGAAGTTTTGATTTATACTATTGTATAGTTAGCGAGTATTTCTTCTCAACAGAAACTATCATGTCTAAATAATTATTGTTGATTTGAATTATTGAAATGTACACCTACTAATAATCTAAAAACTAAGGAAACAAATAAAGTTTAGTTTCTTTATCATTATTTATCAATGTTCTTCTAACCATTTTCATGTGTATGAGAAAAACAAGAAATATAATAAGAAAAAACATCCAGGAAAACAATTATGACAGTAGAGATCAAAGACAACATGTACGTGCATGTTTATAACAAATAGACGTGACATAAACCACGTAAAGAAAAAATCAACAACAACAACAAAAATAAATAGTATATATTAATTAGTAATAAATAACAGATATTGCTTAAATATGGGTGAGTACGCAACTCATTTATTCCACTGTACACAGGCATTACAAGAAAATAAAATATATCCAATCTGATTTTGTTTTTTTTCACTTTGTTTTTAAGAAAATAAAAATAATGGAAGAAGCGCCAGAAGAAATTGAAATTAGAAAGACTTTATGGTACTCTAGATTAATGAGAAAAACATAATGTTTCAAATCAATCGATACCTTCAAATGCTTCACTCATCTCCATTGCTTGAACTAATTTTTGTCGTAATTCTTGATAATTTTCATAAGGTGGTAAATCAAGACGGTTAAAGCTAGAAAAATGAATAGTTCTCTAGATAAGCAAACAATTAAAAACAGATCACAAACCATGTATGTGCACGTGGTAATTTTGTTCGATCGCCCCATTTTTCAATAGTAAATAATTGTGGACCAGAAGAACCCCACAATTCACGGAAGCCATTCATTGGCAGTCGAGATGTACCAGTTACAAATTGAAGGAAACGGGTACGTTCTTCTGTATTGAAAGATCCAATAGCCTTTAAAAAAAATATAAATTCATAACCAGACTTAACAATAACTTGCAATCGATGTATTCTCATGATCAATTACAATTGTGATAGTAAGATTAAAGAATGATGTGTTAGTAAATGGTAGGCAACACAACAGTACATGGAAGTTAGACTTCGATGGGAGTAGCAAAATATATCTATTTATCAAAGTTCAGTAGATTTACGAAATGATCTTTGACGACACGCTTTGGAAAACTTCGTGATAAAAATAAAATCCGATCGATCGGTTCTAAAAAATTATAGACGAAAAAAAGTTTATCTTTATATAAACTTGGTGATAGTAGTAAGATTAACCGTTATAAAACATAATAATTGGTCTTTTTTGAACGCTTTAGTACATTCCCATTGAATACAATAGAAAAACGAACTATGTTTGGTATAACCTTGCACTAAACATGACTAAGGATTTTATGGACTTGATGAATAGGATATATAGACAAGTCGGATACCTAGTGATTGAATACGGTATAGTATGTGTGACTATTGTTCTTGTTGACACAGAACACATGAAAGCAACATTATGGATTACAACTGTAATATTCAAATACGATTCCCGTACTACTATCATTAGACAAGACAAAATTATGCTTAAATGGTGATTCGAACTATATGTAGAATTGAATAAAATCAAATTAAACCTTTATCTCTATTAGTTCTAATACTAATTTCAAAGAGATTTCATTGTGTCGAACAGAATTTAAAATTTTCTATTCCAACAAGATATAAGTACAGTAAATAAAAGAAAATAGTTCGCTTACCTTCCAAAACCATTGAATAACTGCATTTTCTGGTGTGTAACCACCTTTATACATTGCATATGTTCGCCAATCATTAACATTTATTTCTCCGAGGCCACTAATTAAAAGCTAAACAAAATCATTGGCATACTACATTAAAACGAAATCTTTTTTTTCTTATAAAATATTATACTTCAACTTCTTTTTCATCAAATATTTTAATACTATCAAGTGGCAGTATATCTTGAAAACCTTGTTTTATTGCATTCATCTGTGTAACTATTCTTTGTATGAACCGATATTTAATGACCAACCTAATTAATTCAACATAAATGAGAGAACTCACTGTGCTTTTTTTTAAATGTATTTTTCTTACTCAATGTATTCTTGTTTGTTTTGTTCCGTGAGTTGTATATTTTGACCATCAGGTTTCAGTTCATGTTCGCGTAACTATAAAAACGAAAGGTAAAATAACAAATATTTAATATTATTTATTGAATAACTTACTTCACCAAATACTTCTTCACTAACAACAAAATAAAGATCTAATTCTGCTGGATCATTATCCAGAATATATTTTAACGATTGATAATATTCGCGATCAACTGATTCCATATCAGTAAGTGTAATTGATTTTGAAAGTAACATTTTATAGAAAGGACGAATAAAAAATGCTTTTAGAAAAACAAACGTCCGTAAAAATAGAATTCAATTTTGTAAATGAAAACAAACCTTCAAGTAATTTTCCATGATAAATAGCCATTCCAATAATGCGTCCAATAAAACGAAAATATTTTATATGTTCTTCATTAAATATACCAGACAATGGATTTATTTGAAGAGTATAATTATCGCTAGAAGATAAGAAAATAATGAATTTGCTCAGTCAAGCTATCAAAAAATGAACTGAAGACAAGATCAAACTGAAATTAGCCAAAGAATCCTAGTACCATTTCAATTTGACGCGTTTTTTCTTGTTCTTACCAAGTTCTTAGAGCTGTTTTTATATAGATTAATATTAGGATTTGAATGTAGAAAATCTTCGATAATATTTCTTTTAATTGAGCATTGCTCAAGTATTTACATCACTATCTTTGTATTTGCTACAATTATCTATCGCTGTATGACAATGAGTGAAATGGAAAATTTTTCTATTCAATTGAACTTTCAACGGCGACAGTATCTCTCAAAGCTATTTATTATAATATTTTCACTACAATCACATTTTCGTTTGCCATAAATAAACTTGCTATGGTTCGTCATTTCGATGATTTAATGATGCTCTTCTATGTTCAATTCTTCAAAAAATTAGCATACATTAATATTCAAAAACATGTTTGATACTTAGGCGATTCTGAATTATTCATTATTACCAAAACTAAAACGCAATCAATAATATGTCGTATGCTTTTGATATTATATATCGTCTGATAGAAGGTCGACAGACATTTAATTTCAAATTGTGAAAAGAAATTCTCTTAAACTTACATCGTACTGTATTCGAATAAGCCATAATAGGGATTGAATATTTCACGTGAAAGCAACAAAAACCATTCCCGACTTACACCACCATAATCTGAACCGCGTTCACCATCAAATATAATCCATAGTCTTTAGCATAGGAAAAACAATGCAATAGACTGAAAATAAAAGCTTGATTTAAAAAAAAGAGAAAGTTACCGTGTTTTTAATACTTCTGCATCTCTAACACTCATAATGGTTCGAAATGATGTTTCCATAATGTCTTTTCTATTGACATGTACGTCAATTTGATTACCGGCATTTGTTCTAGGCCGTGATAAGTTATGACGAAATAAACGATATTTAGCTTCATAATCACGTGAATATGGGACAGCCTAATAGAAAAATAAATACTATCAATATAAGAAAAATGAAATCAAAGTTGTCAGTATAAACAATGCAGCCTTCTGAATTATTGAAATGAAAAGAAACTATTTGCTTTTAACGATTTGAAATGATGTCAATCATAGTATAGACCATACTCATTGTAAGTATACATATAATTCATGTATTACAAAGAAGAAAAAAAATTATTTTTATTGATACGGAGAAAGAGAATCAAATCAATCCTAATCAGTGTTGCATGTTAGAAAATCAACCACGTCAGACCTCAATGCCCCTGTTCTCTGTCTATATTTGTATATGTATATCTACCAGTCCTGCTATGCGTGGATCAGTCCAAGTTGTTGTTTTACTTGCTAAAATGAAACAAAACAAAATTCAAAAATTGATTTTAAAATCAAATATTACAATGATCAATATAATAAACACGACCATCAGTTAATGTTCGAATTTCCCAATTTGCCTAAAACATAACACAAATAAATAGTTATTTGATTGTGGATTCTGTTTACATACAGGTAATGGTTCATTTTGGCTAAGTTCTTTCTGTACATCTGGTAGTAGAGTTGGTTTACCAGTTCTGGGATCAATCTTAAAATAAATTCGAATAAATTGTATTTTATGATTGTTTCTAGTCTTTCTTACCCATGTTGTTTGTTTATTTACATGATCAATAAAAACTACACGCCCATTATCTGCTGTAGACATTTGCCAATTGGGTGCTAATGGACCGAGTGCATATACTGTACTGACATCAGTGGTAACTGCCGTTCCCGTAGTAGTTGCTGCTACGTCGGTATCGCGTGAAGTTATTATAGTTGTTTCAGTATTATTTGAATCAACATCATCAATTTGATGACGATCACTAAGTTGTGGTTGAACTCGTTGTGAAGTAGGATTACTACAAAACGGCATTGAATTGCAATCAGATTAAATTAAGAAAACTAGTTTCAATCTACATGTTTATAAGCGAAACTATAGGAATACTTTTTGTTTCTCTTTATGCAATATAACGCAAAGAATGGTGCCCCTGGACAAAACATAAAAGTATAGATTACCAAGAGAAATTCGATAATAATTTATTTTTTTTTATGAATAGATCTGCAGCAATTCCTATTTACTTGAGTCTAATCTGTTTTGCAAATCTCATGTAATGACTAGTCTGCGACTTTGCTAACAGCAACGATTAGTGAAAATAATCGTTCCGTTTCGTACACAATCAAAAAATTTTATAATATCTTAACGTAGAAAAAGAAATATTTACGCTTGTCCATTTGGACGAGTCCAAGTTGTTGTACGAGTATTATGATCAACATAATAATTTCGACCAAGAGCATCTTGTCGTTCTATATTAAGAAAAGCATAAAAAGAGAGATTACGAAATAGCTTGGGTTACAAATCGATTACCTTCCCATCCAGGTGGTAAGAGTTGTGTAGTTGATGATGTCAGAGATTCAGATATATCACGATGAGTAATGATTTTAAAGTCAAACTAAAATAAAAGAAAGACTTTCGAGTTAATTTCAAACAAAATAATAAAATATAATTACGTCATTTTGTTGAGCGTCTTCTTCTTCTTCAGTTGATTCTGTTGTTGTAGATGGTGTATTCGTGTTTATGTAAGCTAATCCAATTGATGCTGTACCACGAACATGTTGAAGAACACTGCGTTACAAAGAAATATAGACTAGTAAGTTTCATAGCTATAAGAGAAAAAAATTATTTTCACCTGCGTTTCAATAAGGAATAATCTTTTATTGGAAATAGGCGTTCAGCTGATTCGTATGGAATATTAGCATGCAAATCAACAGAAAACATACCAAGAAATTCATCTTTAGTCTTACAAAAACCATCTATTCATTATTTTTTTTGCAATAAAATAAAATATTGAATACATACAAGTTCATTATGATCAAATATTTCAAATACAAGCCGATGTTTAGTTGGATCAACCTAATTATTTTTGAAAAAACCATTATTAAAATGTTTTACTACTTCCGTGTACTCTTACTCGAAAAATAAAATCTTGATTCCATACTGGATTGAGTGTTTTTGGTACTGTGTGTGTCCGTGCAAAATCAATTACAGAATTACGATTTTCTACTATTTGAAGTGTTATCTTAACATATGGATCACCAGTACCTCCAAGAAAGTCTCGTCTTTGTAGATCAATCGCACGCAAGACTTTGACACGTAATAGACGTGTATTACGTTCTGATGTGTCTACACCATAAACTTTTTCTTTTGACATTTCAGACAATTTCAATCAACAACAAAATCTTTGATTAGATATACTAAGAATTACAAAAATAAAATGTCACTAAAATCATTTAATTGTCATCATGATTAGTCGTCTACCATGAAAAAAAAGCGATTAAAATACAAGGCAACGTAAATAAGGACAATAAAATGTGAAGAGAGAAAAATATAATAGAAATATGAATCTGCTGATTATTTTCACCAATAAGAAAAGAATCTTAGAACAAATGGTTCTCTTTCAGATAAAATAAACCATATGATAAAAATATTTTAGTTTCTAGCTTTTACTGCAACCTTTTACTGTTAACAAATCAAAAAAGAATTCGTCAATAGTTGTCGCAAGTAAACGGAGAAAGATACATGCAAATTAAAAGCATATAAACATTTTCATATACCGAAGTATGTTCTTTGTTTTAGCAGCAGAATAAACAAATCATTTCTCACGAGAAAGAGCGAACTGGCAAGAAGATCTTTTTCGCATAACATATAGAACCATTTCATTTCCTAAACAAATTGCAAAGGCTACGGGCATAGGAGGGGACTGACATTTATCGCCGTAATTTAAGTTATTAATTTAATCGTCTGCAAAGGGTTCAAAAGATAATTTTGAAAATAGAATATCTATGATTGCCCAAAAATCGAGCAGCTTCCGCCGAGGTATATTTTAAGCGTCGTAGCGTTCATTAAAATCAATCTCATTACAGATTTTGTTTTGATCGTGATGTTAAGATTGATGATAAGTCGAAGAACATTTATAAACAGAATATTGAATCAATAATCGCCACTTTTGTTTTGCCCACGGATATAATTTCATTCAAAATGATTTATATTAGAAAGAAATAATAATAGAGTTCACGTTGTACTGCAGATTACAAATGATTTCATTCTAAACTATTCTTTATTTCAATCTGTCAATCTTCCTCTGTACGATCAACGGGTCTAAGTCGATTTAAAAGTTTGATCTTGAAAACGAAGTAATTTGAAAAGGGCAGCAAAATAGATGAAACAATCCGTACAAAATATTCAAATAATCGAATAATGTTGTTTTTTTGTGCATTAAAAAAATGTTAATACTTTTATTAATCATTTTCATTTAATATTTATTTCAGTGATCGTATTTATCAAAAATAAAGATGTCAATAACAGTTTGATTTATCAAGATGGTTCCACACATTCATTCAAAAGAGATCAGTATACCATTTGGTCTAGCTGTTTTCATTATGGTTTCAAAGATTTTATTTTTTTATTTGTTCGACTCCGAACTTCTACTCCATCAAGACCATCTTGATATTGAGAGTTATCTGTGCCAGCTAAACTATCTGGTCTATTTAGTGGAATCAATGTAGGAAGTTTTCGGCGTCACATAATATCAGCAATGAGAATTGATAGGATAATAAATAAGAAAGTAATTATGATTACAAATTTTTATTTAGTGTGAGACAAATCAGAGTCGACTTTTTTATGTTTACGATGATAATGACTGGTAGGATTATGGTCGGAAGTAGAAGTATTCCTAATTATTTTTGTTGCACAATCAGTTGTTCGCATCAGAGTTCTACTTTTCAGTTCATCTAATGCTTTAGCAGAATTTTTCGATGTAAAAATATATGGATATTCTTTTGTGTGGTATTTCAATGGTTTACCGATATGCCATGTCCTTGTTTTGCCACCAACAGGTTCAAACAGATTATTCCAAAGTGAAATTGCAGCTAACGAATGACCTTTATCTAAAAATATGGTCAATAAAAGTTAATGCTTTACTTTTAGTTAAAAACAAATCTAAACTTACCACTCAAATGAAAGCAAGCTGGTGCAAAATAACTAAAATCAATTTTATTATTATGTTTATATGATAGTTTATTATGAGTCATAAATGGTTGAATGACAACAGCAAAGTCATTACGTTTTTCATATCGTTCGGAATTAATCAAATCTGAAAGTAACCTGTGATATTGTTTTATATAATCATCTAATGTGTTTTAGTTTGTTCTTTGGTTGAAAAAGAAACACATGACCATGCTATTTTATGAAGTTCTTCACATACTTAATTGGCACAACTAATATTATTTATACTACGAATATCGAATGGAAGAACAAGATTTATAAGTGCACTTGGTAATAAAGCATTATATAATTGGTCTAATGCATTCGAATATTGTTTAGATATTGTTCAGATGTATATTTCTTTACTTGGCTATCTTTACAAAAATTGCATAAATCATTATTCTAAAAAGTTTATTTAATATTTAAAATTAGATAAACAAAGTTTTACGGTAGCTCACGCCAATAAATACTGGAATAACTTTCCAATCTTTATTCCAATTACATAATTTTTCATTTTTTAAACTTTTCTAGCGGTAATTCTACTTGATACACGATATTACATGAGCTATCCCACGATTTAGCTACAACAAAACAAAAACTGGTATGAGAAATGTTTTCATAGTTTATATTCATTGACCAACATTGAATCCGTTCTATGAATTATTTTGACTAAAAGGGAACATTATTGATACTTCAGTAGAAATCCATTGGAGTTATTGCATGAACCAATGGTTAAACTATCATCCATAACATCGATGCATTGTATGTCATGTGGCTGAAGAGTATGTATCGATGTAGAAATATCAACAGTCTGATTCAGAACTTCGATTGAACACGAAAATTACGCATGAGGATTACCATAGAGATAGTCGTGTTGAGAAAATAGTTCTAATGACCATGTTGTATATTTTTCAAGGAAATTTTCATCATGACTTAGTTCTTCAATGGAAACTGTGTAATTTTCAACATCAAGAGCAAAGTTCTTATCGAATAAAACTATATAAAAAGCGAAAGTAGTTATAAGAAATTTCACTTTTGCCGCCGCGAAATAATATTGAACTACTTGTTGATGTGGACGAAGGTAATAAAAACATCCTCTTTTGAAAATATGGTAATAGATAAAGATAACACATCAGAGTCAATTAGAAATACGTTACATTGAAAACGAAAATAAGATCAGGCGCGACTCAAGATAATGAATTACGAAATAAATGTGAAGGAAAAAGCAGATATGATGTATAGGCTATTTGTCAGTTTTTCATAGAGACAATAGAAAAATCGAGATTCGTTTGATAAATCTGTATGTACAATCATTCTGTTCCGTCACATTTGAAAATTTCAACTCTGTTGTCAACATTCAATTAGCAGAAACCATCTCGAACGATGATGAGATATGTTCGTCATTTTATCCATATATAAATCTATCAATGTTCTAGTTAACTAAACGACTGCTCAAAATTTTCAATCCGTCGCAAGAAATGGATGTTTTCTTACAGGAACATATTAGGAGATTGTCTATTGAAATGCATCGTTTTAGACCAAAAGTATTAAACTATCGTTTGAAAACTACTTCACGTCAAATTTCATCGAGATCATGAAAATTTATGATTGCTTTATTTAATTTGACTATGCTTTTACTCTTCACATTGAAAAACACACTTGAAACATTTAAGTGTATTAGTGTGCATATAGATCACATAGGTATACAGACAGAGACAGAAATTGTCAATCATCAATCTTGGCTAACATAAATTTTCAGTAATGACCTTGATACTATTTTGTAAATAACATCAGGGAAAAAAATGAAAAGTCAGCTGACTTTTGCAATGCTAATATGGTTTCGAGCTAGTTGTTTAAGTGCAAACTTTCAAAGACTTTGTGAATGTTCCATATTTGATTACTTAGGTATGAACTTTTATCCTATCAGTAGAATAAATACGTGGAAAGCAAGCATTTTCACATGTTCTTCAGTCAACATCACCCGTCTTCTAGACTGAAAAAGCAAAGCAAAAATTGTTTTTGCTTTTACTCTCATGATCGCGATGTTCGTCAATCATTTTACCAGGAATTTGTTTTTCGTTAAATGTATCAGGGGAATTTTTTATTTTCGTTTATTCTACGTTGGCAATTTAATTCATTTACAAAGTCCATGTACATGAGAAAGTAGTATTGACAAAATACACAACAGCTATGTCGTTCGAACAAGAAGTTGCTGATGCATTACCTGATGATTTTGGCTTGTATGGTTTAGCAAAAGCATTTAATAATCCTTTGGAAGCTTTTAAACTATTAGTCAGCAATGGAAACGGAAAGATAACAAAAGAAGATTTACAGAAATTATTGGAACGATTTGGTTTTAACGGTTTCGCTGCTAAAATAACAGCCAAATTACTTTTTAACACATTGGACAGTAATAAAAATGGAACAAGTTGAACCGTGTGATCTTGTCCATGCTGGTAGCATTATTACGAAAATATTGGAAATAAAACGATAATTCTGGTGGTAACTTTGAAATAGATGGGCTATCGATTTATTTGAAGCTTTAAATTTTCATTTTTACTTTCTCCCTGTTCAAATAAAGCCTTGCTACCTCATGTCACGAAAAACAAAAACTAGCTATCTAAGAATTTTATATGAGATTTAAATTATTTTATTAAATGTACTCTAAAGCTCTAAAATTCGAACTTCAGATAAATTAATTGTTTCCATACGTATTCAAGTACAGAAACTTAACTCTATTGATCAACGTATCACACTCAATCATAATCGTGATTGGAAAATTGTAAGTTGAATTTACAAACCACGAGCTAAGTGAAAATTGAATCTCTATATGAATGATATTTGAACATGTTTTAGAGTTATGTGCGATACATAGCTCAACACATTCTAGCCGATCTATGATAAAGACAGAGATTAGATTCATTAAGTTCTTAGTTTTTGCAAGAATCAGTCAAGGTAGAGTATTCGAACTGTGGTACAAATTTGTTCTATACTATCTTATAGCAGCCACATAAAAAATGAAGGTAGAAGGCATTTCTTAGTCAAGCTTTACAAGCCTTAACTAATTTACTAAATTAACGAAGTAGAAATAACTTTTTGGCTCGATGAATTTATTAAAAAGCAAACTTTCATATGTTGATGTGATGAAATTCCAAACAATATTGTCGATCCTACTGTAAATTTCTTTTTAAAGTGAAAGTTCCATGTCACATTTTAGAGACTCGTTAAACTGCACGATATTCCATTTTCAATCAAAGTCATCAAGCCAAAACTAGGGTTTACTCAAGAAATCTTTACTTTTATCTTTTATTTTCGATGTGAAAAATTTATTTTCAACCTGGATTCTCTTCGGGACCTACATTAAATGTAGATTTTTATTTTTTATCCAATAATACTATTTTTTATGTGGTTCATCGAGAACAGAATTTGGGTTCAGTATGTACTTAGGTATGAGTATGGGTGTTTAATAATGTCTTCAATGAGATACTAATGCTCCTAAAAAATGTAAAATAGTCACACAAAACAAAATCAGAGGTTATCAATTGTCATCCACACCCTCATGACACATTATTGTAAGCTTAAAATGCCACTTGTAAATTGAAGCATCACATAACTTTTAGATAGAAAATATATTCAATACAAAAAGTGCATTCCTAGTAATCGTCGACATTGTTTTATTTTAGAATATTTCTTCGATTATGAACTGCGGAAAACGCTTTATCTATCAATTCCATTAAGCAATTAAAAGCGTATATATAGAGAGAGAGACAGAGAGAGATTTACACGTATATTCGTAGAATGTAATGTTTCATTGAAAAATAGAATAAAAACAATATATTTATTGAACACCCAAGCCTGGTATTCCTACACGTGACGTTCGTGGTTCAAGTTTCAATGATAGAATATAACATTGATCTTCAGCTAATAGACGTGATCGATCTAATAAATATGCACACACGCGTGGATTATGTTTGATTTTATACAGTGTAGATTGAAAACGATGTACTTCATGTATAATATGTGTTTTCTAGAAAGCAATCACAAAGCCAATGAAATATATCTACATTAATTTTTTTGTTTATTTTACCATTCGCATTTTCGAGAAATTAATTAAATTTTCTGATATATCTTGTGAACTTTCCTCGATGAATGTTAAATCAGATAAATATAAGCCAAGATATGGTACACATGGTGGATCAACTCTATTTAAATTAGACATTAAAAAAAGAATAATAAAGTTATCACCCTTGATATTATTATTATTTTCTTTTACTTTGTTAATGTATCACGTAAATTTTTAAATTTTCCATCGGAATGTACCAGATTTTGAAGTTTATTGATAACTTGTTTATTTTGCTTTGATATTCGATCCCAGGTCAGTTTTAAACGATACACTGAACTATTAACAAAAGCAGCCATTATTTGAAGAACACCATTAAAATTTCGTAAATATCGACATATATCAGCAACAGTACCTAAAAGTAGTATTATTTCGAAAAACAAATCAAAAATCAATATTTTCTCTGAATTATCTTCGACAATGTTCAATTCATATATTGAAAAATAATATACCAATATGCATATGTATAGAAAATCGTTAGATATTTTACTTAGTCACGGCTTAAATGCATTTACGATTTATTTTGTCTGAAATAAGTAGGATTTTTCTATCGAACGAGACTAGACTGAAGGCAAAAAATAAGAGTGCACAAGTAAGACACCTTAGACTGAAAGTCACATAAATCCTTTTGATTCTCTGATAGATTATAATAGACAGTGTCTATTATACACTGTATATATGTGGCCAAATAACTTGTATACACTGAATATCGCTCGATTGCTTGACAGTTTTACTTATTACATCTCAAACGAATCAAGAATAATAATGAGAAGAAGTTTGTCTATAAGTAAATAAAATAAAACGATCTTATCCAGATCAATCTATCAGTTAAATTGTATTTTACATCTCAGCTCGATCTATATAAGTACTTTATTTAACGACGCACATGCATATGAAAACTTACACCATTTTTCAATGCATTGAACACGAGCATTAACATTTGGTTGTGATAATATTTCTGTAATAACAAGTCGGCGCATCTGAAACCGTAAAAGAATATGAACAAATGAGTTAATACAACAGTTTGATTCATTAATTTACTTCATTAAACCGTCTAGATATAAGAGCTACATTGGGTGCTAAATCGTCTCGGTCAGGTTTCATCCAACCGTGCAGAAGTAGCTCTCTGAAAAAAGAACAAAATAAGTATTTTAACTGGAAATGAAACTTCAATTTTATTCTTTTTTATGTCGTACTCGCTGCCTAATGCACAAAAAAGCTTGTGATCAACGAGTGTCATTTGTTCAGCAAGATCAGAAACTGCTATTTGGTCAAATGTTGCATTTGCAACCTAAATATAAACAAATAATAATAATAAAATATTCAAATAGTTTATTATACTTGTTTTGGATAGAGAAGTATATGTAATTGTTCATTTTTTTCATCTATTTCCGCTGTTTCTAATTGTTTGATGATTGCAACAGCAGCTTTATGTTCCGCTGCAATCAAATGATTATTGAATAACATATCTTGCAGAAGTTCAAGAACCATCTATCATAGAAAAGAGAAACGTTCTTATCCAACGTAGATATTGTAGAAAGTGATTTTACCTCTTTCAATTTTGGATTGGTATGAAAATCCTAAATTAAATTACAAAAATTGTAAATAAGTCATAAGCATAATAGAAAGAGTAGTATTTATTTGTAAAGTTATGGGCAGCAAGAAAAAGACTAATCAATAGAATTTGAAAATTTCCTCCAATATACGTAGAAATGTTTTCAATATTTGATAACAGTTCGACTGAAACTGAGTTGAACGATTTGGAAGTTGTCATTCGAATGTCCAGTAGCTGGGGATTCTAGAAATCACTTCGGATTGATGGAATAACGTCTGGGAAGAGATTCATGACAAGTTTTGTCATTTTTAGTCAGGTTTGCCCATGTATTTTTGTCGAAAAAAAAGGTTTAATCGAATTTGATCATACCGACGCTGTTAGTAGATCAGCCTTCAGCTAGTCTTTGAAAATATCGACTTTGTTTGATTCAATGTTGAAGAAAAATTACGAAACATGTAATATGATGAGTCCAGGCATTGGATTCTCGCAGCTGTAGTGCGTGTTGTTTTACTGGGCCCTCGGGAAACCGGCACGAGAAATGACGTAGACAGTATTAGGTGAGTTTAGAGGGTGATCTTAGGCGTGTTTAAGTGCGATGGCTTAGGACGGTCATACAGGACTGTCAGCGACGGCCGCCGTAATCAAAATATGTGGCGAGTTTATACAACTGGATGCGAATCAACGATGTTGTTTTTGTACGTGCAAATGTCTTGAATGTTAGACTTAGATTATTTTATCGCCTTCCAATATCTTATTTATTGTATGTTTAGACTTTGCCTAATGTTGTGTGGTATGGCATGAAATTATACGGAAAATGATATGCAATGTTTTTTGAAATTCTTTCGAAAGGTTTGAACATTGTTTTTTTGTTGTGTGATGTTTTGGATGTTTTTGTTGAGTGTTTGTTCATGAATGTTTGATGGATGAAAAAGATAGTTTTTGCTGCCGATGAGAATGAATTAGTGTATCAATACTGGGATAAAATCTTGAATTGTTGAATGTGTGTTCTGCTTGTAAAGGACATCTGTCATCTTAATATGTTCATATGAGTATATTTCTCGACTTGGTGTATATTCTCTGCTTCGTATAATAATTTAATTGATTCTTATCGTATATTGTAATCAATGGTGGAGTACACATTTAACGCAAAACTAATGCTAGAATGATATCGTTAATAATTTAATGAGTTGATTTTATCTGAACACAACTGCGAAATGCTTGATATTAATCGACATAGCACTACCAATAGGGACGTTCGGTTTAAATAGGTATAGCAGATGGAGATCGTTCGGGTAAGAAAAGAATTAAGCAGAATATCAATAATGACTTATACGAACAAAAGCATGAAAGAAAAACATGCAAAGTGAAGAAGGCTGTGACAACTGTTGAATTCAGATAGGAATAAGTAATTCTAATATCTTATAACACTGCTAGCAATGAAAAGTTCACAGTTGATAGTTAAGGGAAAGTCACATTTTTCTTATTTTAAGTAAGGTACTTTTATCCTAAAAATATCAGCTTTGAATATTTTCAATCTTTCTGGTTTTAGCGTGACATTAATTAAAGTTAACCTAAGTCGCATGAATGACATTTTACATGTTGTAGTTGTTATTCTATTCGATTTACTTTATTGATTAGATAATACTATTGTATGTGCGCATGAAATAACTGTCATTTAATCCTACAAATTGTCGAAATGAAATATCTACTAATAAGAATATTGAAAATTACATACATATGAGAATCTCAGAGTGAAGTTTGCCAAGCTACTCTTGAGTAAATCATTACACAACAACAACAGACATATACTCTAAAAAGTAAGAATGTGGCTGAAGTCTGAATTTTTCTCTTTACTTCTTCCGACTTGAGTAAAAGTGATTGTTTTTTACAAAGGTCGTTGCGAATATATGGATATCACAATTTTGTTATCAAATTTGTTTTATTTTGAAAATCTTTTTACTTAGATTATTTCTAATGTTGTTTTATTTGCGTTCATCCGAATCAGCGAGAAAGAGATCTAGATCGGTCCCATTTCGAACTATTTTTTTCTGTTATAGTTTATATAGCTGTATAACTGTATATATTATATATTGTACGTTTTAGTATTTTCCGCCATTTACGTATCAAATCTATGTGTAATAATCGCATCACATAGATAGGCGTTTCCACGTGGATCTTTTACTTCAAAAACGAAACACCAGACGCAATTCATTATATCGACCTTTGTTTGAAGAAACTAATTCCTATCCATTAGCAATTCGATCAAATCGTAAAAACATAAGTGGCGATGTAGAATTTATTATTGTTTCAAAACAGTCGTTCACTAGTTATTTTTCTTATTCGCACTTATCCTATTTCAGAGTTACGTGAAAACTGTAATAGTCATATGCTCAAATCACATGTGTGCCACAAAATCAAAATTGATAGTAATATTCTTAGTTCATGTATCCTTACCTATATATATATATATATATAGAACAATTTCTTTTTATCTTTCAGAAAAGTCAAATGTTGGTTTATTTTAGCGACCACTCTTACAAAGAAAATCTTCTAACTGAAGAACACCGACGTGGACTTACAAAAGAAGCTCGAAATTCAATGAAGTAAACAAAGTATTTCAACAAATTAAAGCAGACTTTTTTTAAGGAATATTCGATTGGACTTAATCTTTTTTTTCTCGTGAAAAGTTGCATTTCTGTAGGCGTAATATTATATGCGAAATATAAACATGATATAGTTAGTTCACTCATATAAAACACGTAACATGATCTTTTCTATATTGATGAAAGGACACAAAATGTATAGCAAAAAGAATAAACCACCGGATAAATGATTAGTAAAGAAGTACCGTTTAAGTGGTTTAGAACACTATCCAGTAAAACATACGATAGTATAGTACAAACGTAAACCGTTGTAATGCTCGTCCTGGACTACACCGGATTGTCGTAAATAAATCATGCTGGTCAATTCAAAGCAAACTTCTTTATGTCGAATGTTACAGCAAGCCGAGCACATTGAACGCGACGAAGATTCAAACAGAATCTTATTGCAGATCAAGATCAAAAACAAAAACAAATCAACGTGATGGAATATGACATCAATAAAACTAGCGAAAATCCTTCACACACGTTGGCAACAGAAGCGAGTTAACAAATATTGAAGTGAACAGGATGACAAGCCGACTAATCAACATCATTGCTCGATGTTCACAATTGAAATAGTTAATAATTCAGTTGCGAATGGAAATTATGTTGGTTTCCACAATCCAGCATTGTACAAAAATATAACAAGGATAATAAACACTTCCAATATGAAATTGGATTGGACAATACCCTTGATCGGTGGAAACTAGTCACAGTTACATAAAACGTTCACAAGACCGAGAACTAGTTGATACCAGCAAAACACAATATGACCTATGTGAGGAAGACGATTGTGCATCTGAATGCGTACCAGTTATTAAAGGTTACTTCATCGTTAGTCATCTCAGTGGCGTAACTGCTACGCGTACCTTCGTTATTTCTTGAATAAACTTTATAAAAGCAAAATACTAGTTGGCAAATGTGAGTCAAACTCAAAACTTATAATCGTCGCAGTATGATGTTCTCTCTTCATATTTTGAAATAAAACTTCAGTAATTAAAACACTCCACTTAAGTATACAGTACGATGAACACAATCATTCAGCAAGATGTTGTAGCTACAAAAGTTACTATGTAGACATAAAATGTCTGCATCGTACAGACACTATCCATGCTAACAGATACTGATATCACCACCGAAGTACTATCAGCAGAACTACTATAACTCATTGCTTCTTTGTTTTGGGCTGGAAAGCTACATGACAGATGTTGTTGCGAATGTAGTTTTAGTTGTGATGTGGATTCTGTACTCAAGTTTCTTGTTAGAGAGCGAACGTTAGTTCTCGATCTTTTTTCGGCTCCCGTGTAGGTGATTATCATCTGGAAAGTCACTAGCATCTATCAGTTTAATGTAAACTATTTTTTGCATAGAGTTATCTCGCTTTTTCATTGACAGTAGGGACATTTAAGAAATGAATCAAGATATGAGAGATTCGTTGCGAATATTTGTTACTTTCTCCAGCTCATTATACCATTATTTTCTGACATATTAATATTAGGAGAATTCTCGAAATTTTTATTGAATTATTTTCTGCCGTCGATATATAATCAAATGAGTAGGCAAAGCTAGATTAGCGTCGTTATTGCTTATATTGATAAAATTCTGGTCAAGTTTCTTTTTGGTTGATACTTGAACAGCAAATATGTAATATTTTCCATCGGTCGAACGACGCGTATTACATATATGACTATCCAATGCAGCACGAGTTAACTGAATCGTACCTTGTTGTTCACCTAAATTACAAACACGAGGTTTTTACTCATTAAAATGCAAAATGGCAAACCGCGATTTGAATATAGACCATAGTGAATCGTCGATTGAACAGATGAAAATGAGCACCCATAAAAAACGAATGCATCATGTTGACATTTTTTCGTAGCAACATGAACATATAATGGCCAATTTTGAATAGCATCAACCTTTTAACAAATAAAAAATAAATGGTTCGAACAATTCTTCAATTAAGGCATAATCATACTCGTTCAATAAACCATTCAGATATAGGCATTGATTGTTGAAAGGCACGCACACATTCCGTGGAATTTATGACATGATTTGTCACTTGAAATGTTTGAATTCTCAAGGAAGGGCTAATCCATATAGACGGCCGAATAATTTTTGAATCTTCTGAAATAAAAGAATTGATTTTCAAGGATTCTTGAACGTATGCACAAGCTTTGTTTTTACCATTCAATTCTTTTCTACAAAGTTGAGCAGGTCTTCTGTCACCCTTGATATTTACTTGAGAATTTTTCAAGTCAATATCAAATACAATATCATTTTCACCTTCGATAAGAATCTAATAGCAATTGAAAAAAAAACTTTTCAAATAAAGTTATTCAATTTTATTTTTACTTTTGATTCATTAACTAAAATAGCTTCATCAATTTTCAATGATTGATACATATTCATTTTGATTTCGTCTGATTTTTTTCCATTTCTATAGATATAGTATTTAAAAATCGATGATTCTGGTCGAAGATTAGCATAACATTGTGTACATGAGTCATGATCTCCAAAAAGTCTTAATTCATTTTTAGAAAAATCCACATGAGGTAATACATGATACGCCAAGCAAATATCAATTAATATTTCAACCTTTTCAATACGAGTGACAGAAATTAGTTATAAAGATTTGAATAAATAAAATACTTGATCGATGAAATGCCTTCGAACTAAACACAGGTCGTATGTTTTTTCGCAGATTAATTCTCTTAGTGCTTTCTCCAATCGTCTACGTTGGTCATCTATATTTGACAATTCGGAAACCATTCTTATTTGTTTGTCTAAAGATAAACTTTTCATTCTTATTATTAAGAATATGATAGATGATGTATATTTTCGTTAAACGATTCTACAACAAACGTTTATGATAGATTACAATGAATACGTGAACCCTACGCAACATCATCGAAATTATTAATCCACTAAATTTATTACAATGATTCATGTATAGCTAAGAATTTAATGTTTTTCGAAGATTATACTGAACATTGTACAAATAATATTTTTTTACAGTGTGTCGATAGTGATCTTCATGATCAAAACTCATTTTTCTCAGCAGCTAGTTTAGGATTTTAATAAATGTTTAGAATCGCCTTTTCAGCAAAGAAACACTCCTAAAACAATCTTTTTTGAATTCAGCTACACAACACGGTTTCATTGCTGTTTGTGATCATAAGATATTGGATGAATGCAACTCATTTCAGGACATATTCTGTCATTATATTTTTTAAATTTAATTCGTGCCAAGTGCAGTAACAACGTATATATATGTATATATGTTGTAACGAGATGTTCATAAGCATATAGTTTTTGAATTGATTATGATGAAAATCTGTCACGTGCTATGGAGAGGCATGAGTTCACATTCTTATCATATATGTTAACAGATTTGTTAGGTCGTTATTTATATCATGGACATCTAGTTCGTATAAGAAAGGCTCGATCGGTTAAGTCGTCTCTCTCTCTCTCTCTCTGAAACTATCACTAGTTTAAAACGTATGCAAGATATAACCAACAAATCTGCTTACATTTCACAGTTCGCTGGATCGATTGACTCCTTGGATTTCCAATGGATGTCGGCTGTAAAACATCATTCGACAATGGTATTTTAACCTTTTGCTGCTGAACTTCTAGGCAAAGAGTATCCAAATAATCACGAAATATCTATGCAACCGAAAAAAAAAACGATTCTGACAATATCTTGATTCAATGCATTTACTTGATAAGTTTGTTGATTATGCTTCAACTCTTGCGATGAATAAATAACAAACATTACATCTAATTTATGTTGCTGTAAATATTTATTGGCTGCCATTATCATGAATTCGCAAACTTTATTGGGATCAAGTCCAATCTTTCCAGTTCCAATCTTAAATAGCAACAAAGTGTTATAAATAAAGCAAAAATCACAATATTTAATTACAGGTGGAAAAGCAATTGATTTCAGTTTTTGTTCATGTGCATACTGAAGACATCGTATAACTAATTTTGATAAAGACTAATTAATAATAAGAACATAGAAATTTCTTCATTCTGAGCAATATCAATGGAAAAACCTCGTGTGCTTTAGAGATCTGCAATGCTTGAACTTCTTGATACCATGGCAAGAAAAGAATGTGTCGTGCTTTAGTCGAACCTCCATTGAGAATAATATCGTTTGTTGAATTTCCAACTTTAAGAAATTGTGATTCTATGGATGATCCAGCTTGCGTTAGAACATGTCTTAATAGAGTGGCCGAAGTAGTAACGCACACAATCATATCGGTCTACCGAATACATGTCATCGTTTTTATTTACCGAGTCACTATATAAAAATATTTTACCTCAATTTGAGTAATATCACCGGAGATTACATCGATTGTTGAATTAGTACTTTGTATATATAGTGGTTTTCTTTCTGCCGTTCGCTATTATTTTATTATTCATAAATTATCAAATGAAAGAAAACTTAAACAAACCGAATAAAGTTTATCTCGTTCAATTTGTGTTCTTGAAGACAGAATCTAAGTGAAATATAATAGTATAGTCTGGTTGATTTGTATTTCTTTTGTAAATTGTCGAATTAAAATATTTCTAGGATTGAGTTTTAGTCTTTAAGCAAACTAAGACTAAAAACTGGTATTCTCATATAAGATATTATTAAAATAGTTCTATATTTGATGAGTCTTTAACTAATATTATTATAATAAGTTGCCGATAACAACTGTTTTTATTGGGAACATCAGATCGAATATTACTTCGGGTGTAGATCTTCACATTTCCTATTGAAACACATTAGGTTTTACAAAAAAAAAATTGTTATCCCAGAAATAAGTACATCACATTTTCGATCAAGTAATTTTGTGGATTTATATGATTTTTGGTTCTTTGATTTGATAAAATCAAATCGTCTTGTGATGCTATAAAACAAGTTCAGAAGTTCCGTTAAATAAAGAAAAGCACAGAAAAAATTTGATGAATAGTTTCCATGACTGCAAATGAACGCCTTAGGTAATTGTTTGATCTAATGTTACTTTGACACTCAATAAAAAAAAACGTTTCTATCAAAATTTCATTATTATTAAATATGTTCAGGAATGATGAAGTAGCGTCTTGTTTATAGACTGAAACAATACAGAATCCAGATATCTTAGCTACTGCAGTCGATATGTCTGAAGCAGAATCTATATATAATATAAATTTTTTAATACTGCAGTTAGTTGGTTTTGTCAAATACATCATAAGTACAAGACAAACGCAACAGTTCACTCACATTACTCGTTGCTGCTGGTATTGGTCGACTCGGATGATTTCTTGCTGGATAAATTATCTCTATATCTACTGAAAAAACAGTAAATTTATTAGTTTTCATTCGTTAATAACAGTTAAAAATCAATTAAAAAGTGAACTGTTCTTCCAATCAATATATTTAAAAGTGGATATATCTTTATCAACATTTATATTTTTTGAACAAGGCACCAAATTTTTATCATTGATTGCATTGTCACGATATCGGACATTTCGCTATAGACGTTCATAAATGCATTGAATACATGGTTTGTCTAGCCTAGCATGTATACTTACATGAAATAAATCGACGCAAGATCAAAAATTGATTCATTCCTTTTTTTAAACTGATTATCAACTTAGAATTTTAGTTGACTTACGTATGAGTGTTAGTGGTGTAGATGCTATAGCATAATACATTTGATCTGCATCTATTCAATAAATTATTGGATTGAAATCAAATTAGCATTACTTGTTTCTAAAATTCTTTCGACTGCATTTGTTGAAATCATCAGTTTAAGGACATCATTGTTGAGAAATACAGAATCTTCGTTTAATCTGCTACGCAAAATTTTATCTATTGCTTTTGAAATCTGTTTTTCTTCATTGTCATTTCTACATTGACAATAGCCAGATGCAAATATTTCATATCGTTCCTGTTCCATTAGAATATATCTTCCCGGGCCAAAAAGGTACGCAAACTAAAATACGAAATATAAATATTTGAAAAAAAAAAGATGTATATTACGAATCAAGAATCAACATCTAGAGATAGATCAAATTTTATTTAAAGAAGTCCTTACTTCGTGTTCTTTTGCATATTTATCGAAAACATATTTTGTCTGTGTAAGTCGTTTCGTTGAATCTATTGGATTGGATGCAGTTGGTACTTTATCATTATGTTTTACGTGAAGATGAAAATATTTAAATCCTGTCTTCTCATTCCGAGTAGCTAGTGGTACAGTTCGTTGACTATTATTAACTTTTTCGTTCACTAAAATATGAAATTTAAAAGTTTTAATCGATGATAAAAACATGAAAGTTTGTAGAGTATAGCGCTGAACATAATTATATAAAAATACGTTTAATAAAGTACCATACAACATTACTTTTATTAGCATTTTATTTTTAGTTATGAAGTTTTTGTTACAGAGTGAGCTTTATGAGATTTGAATTGAGACTAATTCTTGCCTCGCGTACATTCTAATCATTTTTTTATAGATATCCTGAGGAGAGTTTTACTGCATATGTTATTAGTTCGTTTGTAGTATGTTTACGTTGATCTTATAAACACGTTCACGAATAGTATGAAAGTTAATCTTTTATGTAGTTCATCAGCGCTGTCTAATTTGATATTTTTTATTATAGAATAGAGTAAATCAAATACTCTTACAATTGTTGAAAAAAACGTTTTTCTTTAAGATCTACGTGTACTATATGAAGTTTCAAATCGTCATTAAAAGTTATCCTTATGCTCGTACGCGAGTTTGTTCTATTGAATTGATAATTCCTACTACAAAGTAGTAATAAACTAAGTTACAGCATTCCATAGGCGAACATCCTGTACGTCAAATCTTGGGGAATTTGTGTACAAGATCATCATGTCATCTTGCAGCAAGATCTGTAATTAGATATTGAGTACAGGTTGATGTAGTACATTCAAGATATAAGAATTCGACTTTTCTTACGCAAGATCTTGAGTTATTAACATTAACTAAAGATTGTTTTATCAATCCTGAAAACTAGATCACGATGAATTGTTCGAGAAAATATGGTCAGCATTGAAGAGTCTTCATGATCAAAGTGATTTTAAATGTTTTAAACATTTCATCAAATTCTAATTTAGCATCTTGTAGTATTAGACAAAATCGAACTTCAGATTAAGATTCAGCATCAACTTTTAGTTCATGTGCATTATAGGCAAGATCTTACTTAGAAGATATTCGACTAGGATTGTTTTCAAGCTGCTTATATTATATGCAGATCTAGATGTGTGACATATTCTAAATTTTAAACCCGTAAACCACTTCAGAAACGTCTTGAGTGTGTTTTTTCTGTTTTTTGAAAGCGAATAAGCACTCAAATTATAGTGTAGCTGTAGAAAGTTGAATTGATTGCATTAATCAATGTTTGTTTAAAGTAATATATGAAGATTATTTAAAAGTATAATTACCTTCATCGGTGCCTAGAAATGTCGACGCAATACCTTTTGAAAATCTGTTTGGCGTTGTTTTCCTTGGCTGTTCAAATCTTTCATCAAGTAAATCCACACTATGGCTAGTCATTTCAACTTTTCGATGTGTAGAAAAGTTCGTTGGGATTGGCATGATAACTGTTGAAAAACTTGAATCGCCTGATAATGAAATACGTGGAGAAAGACTCATGCTTTTTTCTTTTGCTAATGATGATTGATCAGTGAAAGTACGTTGTTGAGGTAATGAACTGCAAGTACTTTGACTTGATCCACTTTTGCATAGTACAGATGAAGAATCTTTCGGAAATGACGGTAGGAGCATTCGATTATAAGCGAATAGATTCGAATGGTCTCCTCCACTGATGGTATTCTTTACCGATTCCAATGGAACTTTATGCATCTAGTTCAAAGATATAATTGGCTAATTAAAATAAAATATATTTTACTTCTGCACTTGTTAAACCAGCTTGTTGATTATCATATGGAATAGAAATTTGTCTGACTCTGTACGGTACTGTTTCCGAGGACTTGAATTTCGACGATCGTAGAAGTTGTGCTATTTTATCGAAAGCTGCCTCATCGTTTATCAATACTGGCCTTCTTTTCTTAAGGACGAATTGATTGTGCATCGTAAACAATGAATGAGAATGTGAACATTTTCCATTGAAGTCAAATTTTGAGCATTTGCTATTTAATACATAATCATGGCACAAATGAAGATTTTTACATTCATTTGTATGACATGACATGGGATTTTGCTGATATTTTAAACATAGATGAAGCTAGATAGGATTGTCAAGTCAAATTTTTTAAATAATTTTAGTAGTCTTACATCATTTGAAGGCAAACGAATATCTTCATCGTTTAATGAAGCATACTTCGATGCCATGAATCAACAAAGAACAGTGCGACAAAACTCTAGAAAAAAATTATATGAAAATTCTTGTTCATGTGTGGTTTTATTTAAAAATTCACAATAATGATTATTCTTCTATACATATATACGTGTATATCTATCTATGTCTATATATATATATTCTTTTCTTTTATGAGATACTTTAAAAATTTTTGATTTAAATACTTCATCGGAAGAACATGCTTCTAAACTATATCCTCTACGAATATAAAAAGAATAAGATTGGTTAGAATACAAACGAATATTTATCGTTACTAAATTAGGTTAGTCATCATGAATTCAGATAAATAAATAAATATCTAAAAAAATTCAGGTCGAGATAAGCTACTTACAATTTCCACATACACTGGCAGCAGTGCCAACGTAATTCATGTTCTTGATAGCGCTCGTGTAGTTACGAAGTGTATGTAGCTTATCTCAACCAAAAATTCGAAACAATTGTCATAATTTGATTATGCGGAATAATTATTAACTGGTTTGCGTTGATGAAAGATTTCTATCGGCTACTTTCATATCCATTTTAAGTTAAAATTAACAATACTGAATAGATTATATTCTATTCGCTCCAGACACGAAAACAATTCTTAACCGACTCCACCTGGTTAAATACGTGGTGATTGGTCGATTTTGAATGTGATAAGAAGTGCGACATTTATGTAGTCTTTCACGGCGCTTTTTTCTTTTCTTCTTAAGGAAGGTATCCAAAACTCGAATTATTGGTATTCGTTTAGCAGGTGGTCTTTTGTACATACTTGTAGGGGCGTAACCGGGAAAGGGGGGGG